ACCTACCATTTTATCACCAGCGGATCATACAATTTCACAGTTCAGAGGTGGCGGCCGCGCATGCGCAGTGCCAGTCCTTTACCCCCGCCCATCACAGGACAGGCCGCCCGGGGCATGCCGGGAGTTGTAGTGTCTCCCACAAACTGGAGATTGAGTGTGAGGAGCTCTGAGACCCCCACCCCCCCTTGCAGGGCCCCAGTTTAGGGCATTATACCGCTTGGTCGCCATACTGCCCAGGGGCAATGCCCCCACCATCTCTGCCGGTAATATATTGTGTAAGCTAGTTTTATAATGGAGAGTCCGTGCTGCTCGCACTGATAGTGTAATGTACGCGCCAGGCAGCTGCCATACACAGTATGGTAATAACCTCCCGAGCACAGCTACACTACATCTCCCTCAGGCCCCGCGCGGCGCCATCTGATGATAATAATAATAACAGAGCTGTAAACACAAAGACGCCCACCGCTCGTGCCAACTGTCTGCGCTCCACCGGCCATTTTAGCGAAGCTCAGCTGTGCGCAAGTCAATAGACCTTGGTCTCCAGAACAATGGCTGCCAACGCCGAAACTCTACGCTCTGCACGGGAGACCTTGTTAGTGAGAGTAGGTGTGCCGCTCTGAGCGGTGTTTAGAACTCTTCCAGGAGCGCTGTGTGCTGGGCTGGCTGCTGCTGCTGCTGTCCTGCGAGCTGTGTGTTACCTGATGACGTTGGCAGTCTATAGGATAGGTAGAGGTCCGGGAGTGACAGTGACAATGTGGCCACAAGGAAGCAGCGCCTGGCCGGGGACTAGCCAGCTCTCTGTGCCCACTGCCTGCATTGGCCATCAATAGGGGGGCTTCACCAACAGAGGGTGAGTGTGTATAGACAGCCTGGAAATAGCAAACATTCATCATTACTATATATCTGTCTGTCTGCATCATCATCATCATTATTATTATTATTGATTTACAGCATCCTGTTCACAACATGCAGCTAGGAGTAGCACTCACTGAGTTCACCTACACACAGCTACATACATACATAGCTTCATTGACTAAAGATTTCTTAAATGCTTCTTTATAGTTATCAAATATGTATTTGAGACATGTGAAAACTATATTTCAACATCTCTTTATCCTGCAACAATCATTACAAACTCTGTTTCCTGGCACTTAAAGGGACACTCCAGGCACCCAGACCACTTCTGCCCATTGGAGTGGTCTGGGTGCCAACTCCCACTACTCTTAACCCTGCAACTGTAAATATTGCAGTTTTTTTATACTAGACGGCACTTCCTGATTCATAGCAAAGATTTTCTTTGCTAGAGCGTCGCTGGACGTCCTCACGCTGTGTGAGGACCTCCAGTGTCGCTCAATTCCCCATAGGAAAGCATTGAAAATCTTTTTCAATGCTTTCCTATGGGAAGACCTAATGCGCGTGCGCGGCATTGCCGTGCATGCGCATTAGGTTTTCTCAGCTGGTGGGCAGGATCAGTCTCGCCCACCGGCTGACGTGATTACTGGGAGGAGCGACGTCGACCCGAAACCACTGCCGAGGGACATCAGTGGGGTCTCAGGTAAGTGACCTGAAGGGGTTTTCACCCCTTCAGCTACCTGGGATGGGAGGTGGGATGTAGAGGGGACCTGCAGTGCCAGTAAAACGGATTGTTTTCCTGGCACTGGAGTTTTCCTTTAACATAAAACAGAGAAAAGAAGACATTAAACATTGTTTCTATATTTCCTCTGTATTTGACTTTGTCTGACCTGGATTATATTGCCATTTGGTAAATCTTTATTATAAATTTGAAAGAAACCGAAAGAACAGAACAAAAAAGTTAATATGAGTTATAGGAGATTTTTCGAGATTTTTTATTCACTTGTTTCAATTCCAGAGACTGGTAACAGTTCACCTTTAAATTAAAACAAAAAAAAAATATTACAAATGAGGGCTTAACAGCATATTGCCTACACAGCTACACACAGGAATAAAAATGTTAATTATCGATTACCTCAAGCTTATATTTATTAGTACCTAAAAACAAAATCGGTGTTTAAACATTAAAAAAAATGTCGTACAGCAGAGATTAATCCATACAAATATTTGAAAAATATAACATAAGCCTTGAAATTTAAAAACAAGAAATTCAACCTAAAAATGGAACTCGGTTGGTACTGAGTACTCAGTTTACTCACTGGTACTCAGTGTTTGTGACCTACTAAAAAAGACTGGACATACCCCATTTGAAATACCTTGGGTTGTCTTCTATTGCAAATGGTATGCCATCATGGGGGTAATTCTAATTCCTGGGCTACCATACGGTCTCAAAAGCAACGTAACCAATCTGGCGAATTTCAGTGTGAAAAAACTGAAAAATTTAATGCTAAATTTGATCCTGTAACTTCCCAAAACACCATAAAACTTGTACATAAGGGGTACTGTTTTAAACGTGAGACATTGCTGAATACACATTTGTGTATTTTATTGCAGTAAAAGCAAACCGTATTATGACATTCAAAGTTAAAATATCATGTAGAACTAAAAAAATGTATGTATTTTCTCCTATTTTTTTACATTTCATTCATATTAAATTATGTTTCATAGGTAAATATTTGATGTTAAATGAAATGATATATAATAAATGTGGGTGCACTTAATATGAAAATGTTGAATTACGGTTGAACAGACATAGTCAAATTCCAGGTTTTGTTTTCATCACAATGTGTACATTTGGCTCAGTCCTTAAGGGGTCAAGGTAATAGAGAACACGTGATAATAACATTTCAAATCTTCATAGTTACTTAAAATCTCCTCTCTGGAGCAAATAAATCCCCATATTTATTTTCTTAAGATATATTATTTAAAGGGACACTATAGGCACCAAAGCAACCTTAGCTTATAGAGAGACCATAGTCACCATATCATCTACAGCTTAAAGAGACACTATAGTCACCCAAACCACCTCAGCTCAATGAAGTGGTCTTGGTGCCAGGTCCCCCAGGTTTTAACCCGGTCCCTGTTTCCTTTAGACCTGCCCACTGCCTGCTAACATCATCAGAAGTGGTGGCCTGATCCAATCACAATGCTTTCCCATAGGATTGGCTGAGCCTGACAAGGAGGCAGATCAGGGGCAGAGCCAGCACAATTCAAACACAGCCCTGGCCAATCAGCATCTCCTCATAGAAATGAATTGAATCTCTATGAGGAAAGTTCAGTGTCTGCATGCAGAGGGAGGAGACACTAAATGTTTGGATGCATTTTAGGCAGCCATGACCCAGGAAGGATCTCTAACAGCTATCTGAGGAGTGGCCAGTGAAGTTATCACTAAGCTGTAATGTAAACACTGCTTTTTCTCTGAAAAGACAATGTTTACAGCAAAAAGCCGGAAGGTAATGATTCTACTCACCAGAACAAATTCAATAACCTGTTGTTGGTCAGGTGACTATAGTGCCCCTTGATTCAAAGCATCTCCATGAGGAGGTCCTGATTGGCCAAATTAGCATTTGGCCCGCCTCGTGCCGATTTTAGCCATTTTGCTGATGTCACAAAGGGGACGGAGCCAGCCTCGGTGGACTCACCCGACACTGGAAATAATGTGTGTTTTAAACTTTTATATGGGGGTTGGGGGGCAAGCCACCTAAATGGTGGATTTAGCACTATATGGTCAGGAATATATGTTTGTGTTCGTGACCCTATAGTGATCCTTTAATTAAAGGGTTACTCCAGGCACCATGACGTTTTCAGTGATTGAGTCTGTATGTGCATCATTTCACTTGGAAATGCTGCACAAATGCAGTTCAATTTCTCTGCTGCCACAGGTTCTCGACTGGCTAATATCATTTCTGTGCAAATTTGAATACACAGAATCTAATTCATTGTCTGAGAGCAGTCAAGTGACTCTTTCAGGCAGAGAACGAGTTGCAGGACCGCAATGCCACTTATGCAGTTGTGCAGAAGCCAGTGGAGATCCAGCACCCAGCAGGACCACGTAAGCGGGCAAAATACTGTAAATGGAGCCAGAATACATCATAACCATTACTGCGAGCTGTAGTCATTATGATGGTTGGAGTAACCTTTTAAGATGTTATCTTCATGACATACTCAAATAGTAATATAAAGTGACAGAGCCACTTTAATTAGAATATGTAAGTTAGCTGTAAATGTTTTCTTAATTCTTAATGAAAATACATTTGAACAGATGTAGGTAGTTATTAAAACAATTTTCAACTGACAGCCATAAAGGAATGTTTAGCTTATGTGTCTCATTTTTAACATTTTGTATTTCAAACTTGTAAAAAATATTTATTTTACTGGTGAAACAATTTTAACTTTTACACATTTTCTTTTAGGATGCGAAATCAAAGCCATGCGCAGGATAAAGACGGGGTCTGTGCAAAAGTCTTTGTTTTGGTATAACGTTTACCAGTAGCTTAGTGCTTTATGGTGAAAGAGCTATGCGGTTTTGCATCGTGTGGGTCTTAGCCCTGCATATATTATTCCAGCCAGCACAGTTGGCAGAGCATGATGGAGTTGCAAAGCATGCAATAAAGCTGCATCGGGGAAAGGGCGCCGGCGCCACAGCCAGCCAGCGAAAGGAATGGCTTCTCAACAACTGCCGGAAATTGTCTGGACTCCTTCACCAGAAGAATGTAGTGCTGAACAAGCTAAAAAATGCTATCAAAGCTGTGGAAAAAGACCCAGGGCTTCTGCCCGAAGAGAAGTTATTTCAAGTGCACACATTTGAAATTTTCCAGAAGGAATTGAATGAGAGTGAAAACTCTGTGTTTCAGGCTGTTCATGGGCTGCGCAGAGCTTTGCAAGGTGATTACAAAGATGTGGTCAACATGAAGGAAAGCAGTAGGCAGAGACTGGAAGCATTAAGAGAAGCAGCCATCAAGGTTGGTTGAATTTACATATTATTGGATTGTAAATGTTTTTTTGTTTGTGTATAAAAGAAGAAGCTTCAGGGACAAGGAATGTTTCCATTCTTCTCATATTGGCATTTGGGCATATTCAGTGATAAATAATGTTGTCAGGAAACTGAATGTGCAGTGTTGAAATTCTGCATATACAGAGTTGAACCCTTCTTCTGCCAAAGTTGTAACTCCACCTCCGGTAGCATCATTGGGGCTTCATTAGCCGGACAACAAGAGGTCTGGGCTGACTAATTGAATACTGTGCAGCCAGTGGCAGTGGGAGATTTTACATTTCTTAAGTGATTTATTTGTTTTCTTTCACTTTATACACAATCACTGAACATGAAATTTGCATACACTACAGTTCCCATTTTTTCGAGCTTTATTACTCAGTTCAACATATATTTTTTAACTATATGTTGCTCATCTAATCATTCCCTGTAATTTCACAATCCAGTTTAGTCCAGGTACAGCCAGGACATAATTGCAAGCTAGGAGGAGAATAGAAAAAAAATAATTTTTTTTCCCCTCTCTTTCACCATCTATGTTCAATGTCCGAAAAGAGACGCATTTACTGTATAACTATGAATGACAGGGAGCCAAGATGGAGGCGCCCAGTTCCAGTGTAGAAGTAAATACAACAGTGTGAATAACATTTCATTTTGTTTTGAAGACCTCACAAACATATGTGCTAAATATAGGGGATATATAATCATAATGTTACAATTCCTGGCACGTGACAGTTTCCCTGTAAGTGGTAGAGAACCACTGGTTTGGATGGGTGCAGCATTTTATTACACAAACTCTGAAGAAGTGCATGACAAGAGATCATGACAAACTGGAAATGGTGGTGAATGGGCATTTTGGGAACTCTGATTTGTTGACAAAATATGTACCTTGGGTAGTATAGAACGTTTTACAGACAAGAAGTATTGTTTTAAATTAAATCACAAAAGATGAACAAGAGCAGGATACAAGTTGGCATTCCGAAGAGCACGTTGGATAAATAAGGTTAGTTGGACAGGATAATTTGGTATGAACTGCAAAGGGGATAGACATATAGCAGAGATCTGAGTCTTTGATACCTAAGTTTGTAGCTAAAACTTGGTTCAGCTTGACTGGAGGATAAACCAATATACCTCTGAATTCAACTTCCCTGTTTTCCACACCGAGACATCGAGAGTAGCTGTGGCATGAAGCAGTATGAAATATAACGGGATAATATAAGTTTTAAAGATTAGCTGATTTATGATTAAATCCTTTATCTTTTCCAAATGCCTAATATTCCATATGCTTTGCACAGGAAGAGAAGGAATATGTAGAACTTCTTGCAGCTGAGAAACATCAAGTTGAAGCACTTAAGAATATGCAACATCAGAACAAAAGCCTGTCCATGATTGATGCCATTCTTGAAGAAGTTAGGAAAGCAGCTGATCGTCTGGAAGAGGAGATTGAAGACCATGCTTTTGATGACAATAAGTCTGTAAGAATACTTGTGCTTTGGTTACTCAAATCTCTGTTCTAAGTGTTGGATTGCCTTTTACAAGTAATAATGTAAACATGCAAAGAGCTTAGGCAATAGACTGGTGTGACAGCCTCAGCCCTTCACTGCCTCAATTGCTGCTTGGCTTAGCAAGGAAGGGTTAGGCTGAGCAGAAGCCGCAGGGAGATCCTACTAGCAGCCAGGGGCCCTAGTTCACTGGTAAAGCTCAAATAAACAGTTTAGCCAGGGCAAGGCGCTCCAATCCGCATAACTATTTCAAAGAGTTGAGGTGGTTATCATACCCGGAGTGTTCCTTTAATTAGGATGCGTGGGAGGTAAGAAGGCAGGGGAGCGATAGTGCCACGATACAGCTTTGTATTCATTGCACTATAGTATTCCTTTAAGAACCAGCCACACATGTGCACATCTGTCCAATCACAGACTTCTCACTGAGCTGTATTGCAGCTCACTGACAAACATGTGCAAAGCAAATGTCGCCTCTTTTAAATATAGCGCCACAGAGCTAAACTAGAAGGTAGAAACCTCTACCGACTGTCAGATAGCCACGGGGGTATAATGATTCATTTAGAAAAGTAATAATTTCTATTGAAAACTGCATTTATAAATTTCATTAAATTTTTTTAGTAAAAGAGCATACACTCTTCACATATAAAGCACTTTAGCAAGCTGAAGTGCTTTATGTGTTTGGAGTGTTTCTTTAACTGTGTACGTTTTCTCACATCTTGACTCCATCCAGATACGAGGTGTGAATGTGGAAGCAGTTCTAAGAGTGGAAGAAGATGCGGTTAAAAGGAATAACTCACAGCAACATGTGGAGGATGACTTGGGGCTGAGCATGCTCATTGACTCTCAGAATAACCAGTATATACTGACAAAGCCCAGAGATTCAACTATACCCCGTGCTGACCACCACTTTATAAAGGTAATGCCTATCAGGCTTGATTTATTTTCAGTAAGTCAGTCATATCCTGTTATTGGTCAAAGAATAATAATCTTTTTTTTTGTTTTAGGCTATTTAATAAAAGGGATACTATAATCACAAGTACAACTACAGCTTATTGTATTTGTTCTGGTGATTATAATCATTTCCTTTAGACTTTTTTGCCGTAAACACAGTTTTTTCAGAGAAAAGGCAGTGTTTACATTACAGCCTAGGGATAAGATGGCTAGTAGGGGCAGTGTAGCCCCTCAGATGGCTTCATAGGGTAGTGCAGCACAGTGAGCAGCACTGCCATTCAGTGTCTCCGCCCTCTGCATGGAGATACTGAAGTTACCTCTTAGAGATGCATTGATTTCATGCATCTCTATGAGGAGATGCTGATTGGCCAGGGCTGTGTTTGGCTTGTGTTGGCTCTGCCACTGATCTGCCTCTTTGGCAGTCTCAGCCAATCCAATGCTTTCCTATGGGAAAGCACTTCTGATGATATCAGCCAAGCAGGCAGATCAAGGGCAGAACCTGGAATAAAAGTAAGATTTTACTATATTTAGGGGAGCAAGGGGGTGCCAAATGCTGTTTTTAACACTAGAGGGTCAGGAATACATGTTTGTGTTCCTGACCCTATTGTGTTACTTGAAATTATATTAAATTTCTTCCACTGCATTTGTCATTTTATGTATGAACAGGGTCGGATTTACCCTCCTTGCTGCCTCTTGGTCAGTTTCCTCAATAAGCCCCTTTAGTCCCTTCATTTACACATGTATTTTAATGCATATTTTATATTTTGCTTATAAAATATATATATATATATATATATATATATATATATATATATATATATATATATATAATCATAAAATTTGATAACACGTATATTAATATACTTTAATGCCTACATATATGCACAATTTAAAGATATTGATTTTTTTAAATGAAAACTTTTGCCTTTGTGAAGACTCGTGCATACTCATGCACACATGCACTGACCCATGCCGACACGCACACACCAGTGTTAATTTCATTGACTAACAATTTTCTTCAGATTCAGTTGTCTAAAATGTTGTTGATTTAGTTGAGTAAAACTAGACTAAAAATAAAACAATTCAGATGACTAAAATATGACTAAAACTAAAATTGCTTTTTAGTCAAAAGACTATGACTAAAACTTAATTTGAAATTTGGGAGAATGAGACACATGAGGAGGCTGGGAGAATGACACCCATGAGGGGTCCTATGAGAATGAGACACATGAGGGGGCTGAGGGGGAGTGAGCACATGGAGAGGTTTGGGGGGAATGAGACACATGGAGTGGCTGGGGGGGAAGGAAATGAGACACGTGGAAGGGCTGGGAGGATGAGATAGGGGAGATGAGATGCAATGAGGAGCTGGGGGGGAAGGAAATGAGACACGTGGAAGGGCTGGGAGGATGAGATAGGGGAGATGAGATGCAATGAGGAGCTGGGGGGAAAAGGGACATAGAGGAGTTGGGGGGGGGGAAGAGACACACAAATAGGGATGTGACGAGAAAGAGACATACGGAGAGGCTGGGGGGGCACAATGAGCAACAGAGGGGCTGGGGAAGAGGCAAAACAGACAGACAGAGGCTTAGGGGGAGGAAACACCCAGAGGGGCTAGGGACACACAAAGAGACATAGAGGTGCTGTAGAAGGAACAAAAGTGACACAGGCTATATTTAAACCTATTTGATTTTAGTTGTGCCGACTAAAACTAAAACCGTTCTGATGACTAAAATACAACTAAAACTAAAATGGGTTTTTAGTCAAAATGAACAGTGGCACAAATGCACTGTCCCATGCAGACACGCACGCACTAACCCATGCAGGCGTGCACACACGCACGCACTGACCTATGCAGGCACACACGCACTGCCCATGCAGGCACATGCACACACTGACCTTAGTGTGTACGGGTGGCTGGCCACTGGGCTTGGTAACACTGGCTGCTGCTGGCATGGCATATCTCTTGCTGAGCAGACTGGTGGCTGGCACAAGCTACTAGTTGGAATGGAGGCTGAGAAATGCAATGTAGCCTAAGGAATAGGAGAGCAATGCTCTTCTGTACAGGCTTTCCTTTTTTAGTACCCTCTGCCTCTCTTACTGCACTGATTGGTGCAGTGACTCGGTAGCCCTCCAGGAAAGAGAAGAAGAAAAGTATGCTGCTGCACACCCCAGCTCCCTTGGCATCTTTGATCTCCCCACCGACTGTGCTGCCCCTGTCATGCCTGCCATCCCGAGGCCTTGGTAGCCATATGGGAAATCCATCCTTGTGTATGTACACATACACTATTTTCAAAGGTAAGGTTAAGTATGAAAACTGTTGGAATTCTAAATAACACTTACCTGAGTGTTTCTGGTAAGTAGTGGTTGAGCTTCTAAGATTTGCTTTGAATTTGCGCTATTACAACACCTAGTGTCTAGGCTTTCAATTGAAGCAGTTTGTAAAAATATCTGCAGTTCTAAACCTGCCCCACCGAGTGTCAGATTTCCTGAGATAATTCTTTACAGCTTGTGCATGCTGGACTGTGCTTTCCGTCCTGTCAAAGAAAGAAACAGATCGACCAATCCTATTCTGATACAGCACAAAGATCAATTGACTAAAACATGAACCAAGCTAAGTGTCAACTGATCATAGTCATGATATTGCTACTACCAGTTTCTTCTGTGTGATGATTGGAACTACTTTTTGAAAAAAGCTTTTTTTTTTTTTTTTTTATCCCATAAATCCTTGTTTTTTTACAATGGTTAGCTGACAACAGAGGAAGTATCCTAAAGAACTGAAAGGAATAATTAACCTAACTTATGTGTACAAGTTAATTTAACAACATTAATGTTGCTATGCGTTTAGGTAAAATGTATTTAAATAAATAGTGCTAGACCTTATTAACCCAGCATTATACAATTTTCATTTTGCTTTTTTGCCATTTAAGATTTTTCTCTTGTACAGATGCATTCCATTTTTTTCCAACTGAGCCTTTGGTTTTAGGCAACCATTTTAGTTCTTTCTCACTGCCTCTTCAAATCCCAAAAAACTCAAGATGACTTCTAAACCAATACTTCTAGAACACAAAGCAAAATTAGGTTTTAACTTTTGTGGATTTTTGAAGTGAGTTGAGAAAATGTTTATTTTTTTAAAATTGTTTTTTTTGCTTAGTTTTTTTTACAAATGGTTCCAGTGATAAATGATGTAGATCTGGGATACTCTAAAGCTATTTAACTTGATGTTGAATTAACTCCTATGATGGATAACCCAGGACATTCTTGAAAACGAGGGAAATCTTTTTATTTTTCCTTCCGGGTAAAATATTTTATAAATAAATAAAAAAATTTTTATCAGCCTCTATAATTGCAAAGCATCATGGAAGTTGTAGTTCTAAAACCTCTTTTGATGTACCAATTGATTGAAACCCCTGATGTATATTGAAGTGTTATAATACAAATGTCTCATCTTAACTTTACAAAATGTTTTTTGTTTGTTTGTTTTTAGGATATTGTGACTATTGTAATGCTGTCCTTGCCCTGTGGATGGGCATGCACAATGATAGGATTACCTACTATGTTTGGATATATCATTTGTGGTGTTCTTCTGGGACCATCTGGATTAAACAGTATCAAGGTATGTTTCTAACAGTGCTGCTTCTATTAGAGTTTGATGCACTTATTCACCGGGTCTGATAGCAAACTGCAAATATCTTTATCCTGTTTGCAAGAATCTAACCTATTGTCAAGCAAAGGAGCACTTCAGCCACCAACACACATATTTAGTGTAATGTGTAGGTTAGGGTATATTGTATTCTACGGATGTCTTAGTTAATCTTTTTTTTTTTTTTTAAATATTAATGTTTGTATGTTCATTAAAATGGTGGCTATAAAATGCTAGAAAAAAAAGTGTGTGTATTCATCTCTCTGCCTCCATTAAGCATAGTTTTGTTCTGATTCCTCATGTCTAACCTGTTGATTTTTATGTTGTTCTGTTTGTGCATATTTTTTTTCTACTATGCAGTTCATTATTATCCACTAGCTCATTACAGGGCCTCCTGGGTGTATTAATATTCTCATGTTTATATTGCGATCCAGCTGTTTGTCGGAGATATGTTTAAGCTTACCTAAATATAGCTGTGCTGGCACACTTATCTGTTTAAAATTTTATTCAACATCGTCTCTCTCCTTCACAGTAAGCGAATTACTAAGTTCATTTTTTTTAAATTTTTTTTTAATAATTTGTCTTTTATTTGTTTTTTTCATAAATGAAAGTGGGGTACAGAAGGAAGAAAGAGGGGACGATGGGGTACACATTAGATGAAGGGAACATTCTCATAGTATCACGTTACAATATTTTTCAGTGTGTTGCGGTGTTGCAACAGTTCAAAGAGGTTTCATTATGGTGAGCTAGACCTTCCTTTAGCTGGGTACAATCTCATACAAATCATGACATAACCTACACATGGTTGTTAAACGACAAGATCGAGCTCGGGAAGTCGGTCAACTGGCCTATTCAATGTGTGTGTTTTGTTTTCGCTACCCATTCTCTATGGGCTTCTTGGATGCCTGTGCGTGTTCCAAATTGTTTTGTAGTCATTAACTCGTAAGTCCAGTCTTGGTCTACCTGTTTAATAAGGTCGTCCACTGACGGTGTGAGTTTTCTTCCATAACCTGGATATTACTAAATTGGACGATATTAAGGTGTGGTAGAGTATGACCCTGATGTGTTAAAGTAGGAAAATATGGCTCTATGGGGGAGGCCATACTGGGTTTGAATGGTAGTGAAAGGTTTCAGTTGACCCCTATCAATGATCTGGTAGTTGTAGTGCACTCCCCTCCCTGTCCATGTCTCCCAGGGAAAGGTTGGGATCATCTGCCCTATTCTTTGCATTGGGGTGGCTAAAGGTATTGTGGTTCCACCAGCAGCTTATCCCTCATTTTATCCCACATTCGTAGTAGAGTCTGGGTGGTGGGTCATCGAGGATGTGTCTGGGGCGGTTCAGCATCCATAGGAGTGATCGGAGATCCCTCCGGGGGAACCAATGTGATTCTATTTCTACCCATTGGGGGGTTGTGGTGGGTCGATTAATTTGGGCTATGTTGTGCAGAAAGGCTGCTCTGTAGTAGGTCGTTAGGTTAGGTAAGCCCAATCCCCCCTTACCCACTGCCTGGTGGAGAGTTCCCGTTGCCACCCTTACCTTTTTTCCCTCCCATATGAAGGACGTTAGGGCGTGTTGCATGTTTTTTTTAGGTATTGTTTCGGTATGGATATTTGCAGTGTTCGGAAGAGATACTGGATTTTAGGTATAAGCGACATTTTCACTGCCGCTATACGGCCCAGTCAGGATAGGAAGCGTCCCTTCCACGACTGTAGAGTGTCTGTTAATTTTTTGAGTAAACGTACATAGTTGTCCCTGAATAAGTGGGCCGGGTTTTTGGTGAGTTTAAGGCCCAGAAAGGTTAGGTGGTCGTGTCGCCAGTCCAGAGGGAAAGCTGCCCGCAGCCTGTTTAAGCCCTCATCTAGATGCAACCCCAGAGCCTGGGTTTTGGTGACATTTAGATTATAATAAGAGATGGCTCCATATGTTTGGATTTGTGCCATCAGGTTCGGTAGGGACAGGAGGGGTTGTGTGATTGTTACCAGTATGTCATTGTCACATATTCATCTTCACCTTGTGATATCTGCAGTAGTAATTGCCTTCCTGACAATAAGTGCCGCTCAGCAGCCCTGCGCCAGTATACCTGACTCCTGCTACATTTTGGTGGACGCCGGCCTATGCAGATCCATTTTATAGCCCCATGTCCGCCCACGGTAATGTCTACGTCAACATGCGTGTGACGTCACGCAAAGGACGCGCACGCACGTTCTGGGGTCAAAGGCCTGTAACGGCCAATCGGATCTGTAGGCTGGGGAGTGGTAGTGTAATTCTCTAGGTTGTACAAGGCGTTATAGTAATCTGCAAAGACATCGCTGATAGGGGTCACCTTCTTTTCACCTGCTTGGTTCAGAATGTACGTGATCTTGGTGTTTGTACTCTTGTGCGATAGTCTCCTGGTGAGTAATTTCCTTGCCCTGTTCCCTTGGGTGTAATGGGTTGCTCTAAGTTTCTGTAAGCTAAACTCCATTTTGGTCAGATTGTGTTCTTTGATCTCGCCTAGCAGTTCCCTGATTTGTGTTTTTAAGGAGGGGGTCAGGAATATTTGGTTTTGTTTATTTAGGAGGTATAAGTCTTTCAGCCAACCTTTCATTTTGGCTTGGGATTTTTGTTTCATTGCACTGGCCTTCCCAATGAAGAACCCTCTGATTACTGGTTTATGAGCCTGCCAAAGGGTTTCTGGTGTGACTTCTGGGGTCTGGTTGGTTGAGATATGTGCCCTGTATGAAGAACCCGTCAATAGGTGTTATGTATCTGGGAGAAGAAGGTGAAGTCCCTCTCTCCAGGGTGGAGAACTCTCCACGCATTGTATAAATTGTGCTCACTTAGCAGGCATGTTAGTGGTTTACACTCTCATGTAAGGGTGGCAAATCTGGGCATGTTGGGGTGTACTGTGGAGTCCCATTTTGGATCTAATATATGGTTGAGATCCCCACATATGACCGTGATGCCCCTTTGGACTGGCGAGAGTTGGGTTATAATTTTATGTAGGAAGTTTCTCTGGTTAGCATTTGGCGCATAAAGATTAACAATAGTGTGTTCCAGATGTTGATGTTGATCTCCCTTGTTTTTCTATGGACTCATAAAGTAACTTAAAGGATACATCCTTGCTACTCAGGATGGAGACTCCTTTAGTTTTGCAGTGAGAAATGCTGTGGTATTGTACGGGGTATTGTGTTTGAGCGATTGTGGAAACCTTTTTGTGGTGTGTTATTCTTGCAAACACACGACGTCCGGTTAGGTCTTGTGAAGGTCTCTAACTAGGCAGTATCTTTTAACTGGAGTATTCAACCCCTTAACATTGTGGCTGTATATTTTCATACTCTATGGGGTTGTGTTATGGTATGCTGGCTTGTCTGTCTCAGTACTAGTGGCATTGGCGTCGCTAACAGCCTCTGCAGGGCGACCCTCCCCCATCCCACCTGCCACCTGACTGCGGGCATAGGTGTGTCCTGCACATCCCGGGCCCTGGGTATCTGGTGAAACCCCGAGGGGGATCCCATGCTTTTTCGTAACTGTCCCGGGGTTTCCATTGTCCCCTGTGTTAGAGAACTCTTAGGTGGTCTTTCCCTTCTTTTGGAGGGGGGTTGGATGGTAGGAAAGGAAGACCGGGGGGTAGTAAAGCAAACGTTATTCGTAACAGTCGAATATATCATCACAATATATACATATTTAACAACATGCATGAATATTTCCCATTGAAGGGCGATGCACCAAGTAGTTGGTACAAGTTAGGAGCGTGGTTACTATGTATGGTTGCTAGATACGGGAATTGCAAGGTGAACACGCATGGCCCGATAGTGACGTTCACCAAGCTTATGAGTGTAGTGCTAGTAACACTGTGTTTTCCGGCTAAGGCTGTGTACTATTGAATTAGAACTTTAGAAAACTAGAGAATTAGGAACTTAGTAAAGCTGTAACCGTTATTGACCCTATTTCAGTAGGCCTCATTCTGGGGTAGCAGTTAACTAGCAGGGCATGCCGTTAAGCAGCGTTTAGCTACGTGATAAGCGTTGGGGCCCTGCACCCTTTTATCATTTGTCCCCTCAGGATCTGAACAGCTGTCAGTCCCTAAGACACCCGCCCTGTTGTGTTTTTTATTTTATTTATTTTTTAATTTATTTTATTTATTTTCTGTATGTTTTCCCCCCTCCTTCCTTGGTGTGTTAGGGGCCACTTGGACTCTGCCCTGTTTGTCGGCTTCCAGGTCCCGACAGAGTTTGCTATCATTGGGGGTCCTCTGCCTTACATACCGTCATAGGCGTGCGCAGCCTATTGCATTAGGGTGTGCACCCTAAAGCACAAGCACACGCCACATATATATATATATATATATATATATATATATATATATATATATATATATATATATATACACACATACACACACTGCTGTGTGTGTGAGGGTGCTGTTAGTGTGATGTGTGTGTGACGGTGCTGGTAGTGTGCTATGTGGGTGAGGGTGTTTGTGTGTGCGCGCTTGTGAGGGTGCTGTTAATGTACTGTGTGTGAGGGTGCTGTTTGTATGTGAGGGTACTGGTAGTGTGCTGTGTGTGTGTTTGTTAGGGTCCTGTTTGTGTTTGTGAGGGTACTGTTAATGTGCTGTGTGTTTGTGAGGGTACTGTTAGTGTGCTGTGTGTGTGTGTGAGGGTGATGTTTGTGTGTGTGTGTGTGAGGGTGCTGTGTGTGAGGGTGCTGTGTGTGTTTGTGTGGGTGCTGTATGTGTGTGTGGGTGCTGTATGTGTGTGTGGGTGCTGTATGTGTGTGTGGGTGCTGTATGTGTGTTGGTGCTGTGTATGTCTGTGGGTGCTGTATGTGTATGTGTGTGGGTGCTGTGTATGTCTGTGGGTGCTATGTGTGTGGGTGCTGTGTATGTGTGTGGGTGCTGTGTATGTGTGTGGGTGCTGTGTATGTGTGTGGGTGCTGTGTGTATGTCTGTGGGTGCTGTGTGTATGTCTGTGGGTGCTGTGTGTATGTCTGTGGGTGCTGTGTGTATGTCTGTGGGTGCTGTGTGTATGTCTGTGGGTGCTGTATGTGTGTGTACTGTGTGTGTGTGTGTGCTGTATGTGGGTGGGTGATGGGGGGGTGGAGGTGGGGGTACATTAATTGCTATCCCCCCTCCCTTCTTACCTTTTGTAGGGAGGGGGGATCGTGCTGCTGATTCCATCCCTGGTGGTCCAGTGGAGAGTGAACTCTAGCCCCTGTGGGGCTAGAGTTCACTCTCGCGAGATTTGAGCGTTGCCGTGGCCGGTGGGGAGGGAGGCTGAGAGCAGAGTCGTCCTGAGATCTCCCCTGCCGGTCTCAATATGCATAGGCGTGCCGCAGGGATTAGGGCACACCCCGTGCGCACGCCTATGCATACCGTAATACAATCACATAATACATGTGCGTGTGGTGAGGGAGATAGGGTGTAATAACAAACACGGTGCATTGTGTGCAAGTATACTTGCTACTCGAGTTCCGCCTGACTGAAGATGGATCTGTGGTAGGGCTAGCAACACAGTCACCTAACCAGTTCATTTTTTAGCTCGTTTCCATTCCGAAGATAGTCTGTTAAGCGTGGCTGGGTTCTCCTCGTGTGGCATGATGTTGCAGCTGCGCAGCAGTTTGCAGCCCTCCTCAGGGGAGTTCACCATTGTCACTGTGCCATTTCTCCTGATCAAGACGCGGATTGGATACCCCCATCTGTACTGGACATTATTGTGTGTTAGCGCTTCCATGGTGTCCCTGAATTCTTTGCGCTTTTGTAAAGTGGCGGCAGAGAGGTCGATAAATATCTTGATAGCTCTGGATTTTTGCGGGCGGTCTCTACCCGTTCTTGTCGCCTGGAGTTTGACTTCGTAATGCACGTGTGTGAGCACGTCCCTGGGGGTCTCCTGCGGTAAGAAGGCTTGTTTTTGCTCCCGGTCATACCTATCTAACAAAAGGACATCTGCAGGTAAGTCTGGTACCAGCATTTTGAAGTGTCCTGTCAGGAACTCGTGCAGGTACTGCTGCTTTTCCTCCTCCGGTATTCCTCGGATCCAGAGATTTTGGCGCCTGGAGTGGTCTTCTAGGTCCATGACCTTGCGCTGTGAGTTGTTGTAGGCTCTGCATCTGGTCGGCCATTTCATTGTGAGCGGAGGTCTGATACTCCATGCGCTGCTCCATACGAACTGTCCTTGTTGGAGCTCTCCAGGAGTTCGGCAGGATTTTGTTGGACATGTCCTCCAGGCAACTCTGCAGAAAGTCTTGGGTCACTGGCAGGTTTTGAGGCCCAGCGGATGTCTGTAATGGTATTGTGTCATTCCCACCGTCGCTATGTTTGTCCTGGCCTAGTAGGCTAGAGGCCTTTGGGTTCGATGCCCTGTTTGCGAAGAAGCCTGAGCAGTCAGATTTTTCTGTCTGCTTCTTGTGTTTCTGGTTGGCCATGTTGGGGGGTTCGATGTGAGCTGATAAGTAGCCGGATTAAGCTTTAAATATGCTGTTTTGGGCCAGTGGCTTGCGGAGCTCAGGAAGTCCGTCCATCTGCGGTGCTCACTAAGCCACACCTCTAAGTTCATTTTGATATAGTCTTTGCCTCTGAGACCGAGCACTCGACATTTTATTTATTTTTTAAATTACAAAATGAGATGCTTTCTCAAGTTTAAAGGATTACTATCGTGTCAGGAAAACTAAGCAGTTTTCCTGACACTATAGTGCCCTGAGGGTGCCCCCACCCTCAGGGTCCTCCTCCCGTGGCGCTGAAGGGGTTAAAACCCCTTCAGCCACTTACCTTAATCCAGCGCCGGTGACCTCTCCTCCCCGTCTGACATCACTGGAGCCGAATGCGCAAGCACGGCAAGTGCCGCGCGCACATTCAAAGTGTCCATAGGAAAGCATTTCTCAATGCTTTCCTATGGATGTTCTATGGATGTTCTGCGCGATGGAGGCAAAATTTGCCTCCAGCGTCGCAGATGCGCCTCTAGTGGCTGTCCGGAAGACAGCCACTAGAAACTTCTATGTTTGCATCTGAAGGGTTAAAACCTGGGGGACTTGGCACCCAGACCACTTAATTGAGCTGAAGTGGTCTGGGTAGCTATAATGTCCCTTTAATTTTCCTTGCATAATATATATTATGACATGTACTGATATTTTATGTCCAATGTTATGTGCTAACCTCTCAATTAAAAATAAAAATAAAACAATTCACAAACAAAAATTGTGTACTAATGCCAACCACTGGATGAGTGTGATTGGAGTTATCTTTCACATAAGCTATTTACCTAGTTTTTGTCTCATTATCCTCTTAATTCCGAAATCTATATTTGAACTCCCACCACCCTATATCTCAATGAGCATTATAGGTGTTGTGGTTCAATAGGGGCAGGCAACTTCTCCATTTAATGAGCCATAAATTCCCAGCAAAGCTCACTTTCCATCTTTCACCTAGGTAGGGCACAGGTCAAAAATCCAGAATCGATAAATTTTTATCTGGAAGTAAGTTAAATGAACACTATAGTGTTGTAAATACAAAACTGTATTCCTTATGTTATCTTGTTATCTCTAATGCTGGATTACTTTTATACTGCCCCCAGTTTGCTGTAAAAATGCTTAATGGATGTGTGCAAATTCAAATACTCCTAGTAGGAAATAATTGATTTCAATGCTTTCCTATGACTGCTGAGGAACTGTCTCTAGTTAATGTGTGGAATACTACTAGAGGTTTGTATAACCCTACAATGTAAACATTGCAGATTATACAAAACTGCAATGTTTTAGATTGCAGGTTTACAACTAAAGGGCCACTGCACCCAGACTACATCAATAAAGTGGTCTGAGTTACTTTAGTGGTCCTTTAAATTGCCTGGGAGCTGGGCAGCAGGCAGTGACAATGTGTGTGTTGGCAGATGCAAAAACTGCACATGATATTGCAAGCAAGGGAGAGAGTATTCCAACTGGCTGATTGACAGACCAGGGAGGTGGTCCTGCATGCATTTAAAACAAACAAACAAAAAAGTTGTGTGTGTGTGTATGTATGTGTGTGTGTGTGTGTGTATGTATATATATATATATATATATATAATATAAAAAAAAAGACCTGCACAGTTAAGATTTTTGCACCATTTTTTCTATTCTTATATACTTTGTAGTACTAATTAATGTTGCTCCTTAAAAAGTAATTCTGTTTATGGTGCCATGACTTTCTGTGAGTTGGAGTTCAGCTGTTAGTTTCCTGTACAAGAAAACTGACAATTGAACTATAATTTCTAAAAATACTTGATGTTTCAAAAAGCCACTCCTTATGGAAAAATTTTAGCAGTGCTGAGGAAAGTTTAGTAAGGCTCAGTCACTTCTAGGTTTGGTGAGAGCAAACTGCAATTTCTGCACTGACTGGGCATTTTGTTGTAGTCATCAGAAATATTGCTGAATATATTTGTATACTCCCCCCCCATTTGTTTTCCCAATCCAGTTTAATTTATGTCAGACATGTAGTGTTAGTGATATTTTCTATTGATGTTTGTGATATTTAAAACTGGCAACCATTAACCGTGTGTGTTTTATGTTTTTTATTGCAGTCTATTGTCCAAGTGGAGACATTGGGGGAATTCGGCGTCTTTTTTACCCTCTTTCTTGTCGGTTTGGAGTTTTCTCCAGAAAAACTAAGAAAGGTATGTCTTTCTAAATATTTAGTAACTCATTGCTCTTTGTAAAGTTAATCAATTTAAGGCAGTTTGGCTTAGAGCAGGGACGAGGAACCTTTTGGCCCTCCAGATGTTTTGGACTACATCTCCCATAATGCTCTTACAGCCATAAAGCTGGCAAAGTATCAAGGAACATGTAATCTGGAGGGCCGAAGGTTCCCCACCCTTGGCTTAGAGGAACACTCCAGCCCAATAACAAAATCATCTGAATAACTGGACATTATCTTACCTATCTTTTCTCTGAAACTGCTAGGTTTATTTAAAAAAAAAAAAAAAAGGGTTAACCCTAGGTGGACATGGCACTCAGACCATTTCATTAAGCTGAAGTGGTCTGGGTGCCTATAGTGGTCCTTTAATTATTATAAAACTGATTGTAACAATGCACATTGGTGAGATTCTATAAAGGGACACTATAGTCACCAGAATAACTACAGTTTATTGAATTTATTCTGGTGAGTAGAATCATTACCTTCAGGCCTTTTGCAGTAAACACGGTCTTTTCAGAGAAAATGCAGTGTTTACATTACAGCCTACTGATAACTTCACAGGCCACTCCTTAGATGGCTGTTAGAGATCCTTCCTGGGTCATGGCTGGCTAAAATGCATCCAAACATTTAGTGTCTCCTACCTCTGCATGCAGACACTGAACTTTCCTCATAGAGATTCATTGATTCAATTCATCTCTATGAGGAGATGCTGATTGGCCAGGGCTGTGTTTGAATCATGCTGGCTGTGCCCTTTGATCTGCCTCCTTGTCAGTCTCAGCCAATCCTATGGGGAAGCACTGTGATTGGATCTAATAATGTCAGCAGACTGCTTGTTTTTCTGAGTCTAACAGCATTCAGAGTTACAACTTCAGGCTTGAATACAGTAAGATGTTGCTAGATTTATGGAGGCATGAGGGGCCCGGGGGGGGGCTAGATGGTGGTGTTAACACTATAGGGTCAGAAATACATGTTTGTGTTCCTGACCCTATAGTGATCCTTTAATAGGTATTATTTGACATGAATTGTACATATAATGTAGTTGAAATGTTAGCACTACAGGACTATTAACATTTGTTGGAAAAGCCACCAATTATTTTTCACGAGGAGGTCCTTTGGAAAGGATGAACCACACTGGCACTCCTATTTTTATTTATTTATTTATTTTAGCTAATAAAAGATCCCATATTTGCAGTATGTACAGTATGAAAGCTGAATTGATTGGCCTTCAGAAAAATCTACTGCTGCTTTCCTCATCTGATTTTCCCTATCCAAGTAGACTTTATACCAGGTTACCAAATGTAGAGATATGTTTAGATAATTTTTTTAAATGTCCATTATGAGAGCTAACAGAAGATAATTTCCAACTCTCTAGGGGTGGTAATGGGGAGTGGAGTTATAAATAGCTGTAGTGGTTATAGTGCTTAGAGTGTTTACACAAAAGCTGTCTTTGGCTGTGTTCAGTGTTGTTCATAAAACTACTTGTTTCTTACGTGTGTCCGAGAAATGACTGAAGTATAGTTGCATGGTTGTCATATATACAAATGATTCTACAGCAAAGTTCCTGATCACTTGTAAAAAGCAACATCTGGAGGCATATGGGTACTAAAGGATTCACTACTGGAAGTGAATGTGACCGTGTATAATTCTGCATTTCGCAAACTTTTATCACCCTATTAAATACAGTGCTTTACAGACATATTCATATTTTAAAATTTAAAATAATAGTGTGTAGGCGCTTCAAAATTGGATAAAAGATATAGGTATGTTAAATAAATAGGCAGTGTGACTGATATAACAATGCTTCCCAAAAACACTTAAAATGTTGAAATACCAAAAAATTAAATTATATCTGTGTACACACAAATCCCAGTGAGAATATAAAATATAAATAATACCACCATGTAGCGAAGTAAAAATGGATGGTACCTAAAATATGAACATAAAATACAACATAGTGTGAACTGTATAGACAAATATAATGTAAATAGATATAGGACTACCACTCACATGATCCAGAGCCGTACCAGGCTCTAAATAACTGTCTCAAGGGTTCCAATTCAGGCTGATGAATTTACTTTCAGAAGTAAAAGATTGGACTTCAAATGTGATACAAACAAAATTTATTGGGAATATAATACAACAAACTCAAGGTACTAAAAATAGAATGGGAGTGAAACTGGGTTTGAAAGTCCAGTTTGGAAAACAAATAAAAGGTTCCACTCACCACCAATGCAGTAAGCAAGATGTGAGAAAGTGAAGGCAGATAGGCCTATAGCATTTAACCCCAGGGGGAGTATGTGTAGTATGTGTTGTAGGCAACACAAACCACGGTTTAGTTATGGGCCCCTTGGAGAGCAGGGTGGGCCAATGCTCCATTCCTCAGTTTATACACAACTGGGAGAAATCAGGTCCAGGCCAGAGTTTTTTGGAGCTGTCTCCAACCCACTGCTCAGCTGCAGATAATCAGCTGTAGCAGTGGGAATAAACCCCTCCCTGCTATGCAGGTAAAGGGGGGCTTGCTGGCTTCCTCCCTGGAAGCAGGTTGGAGAGAGGCTGTTCTCTCCAGTGAGAGAATCAAGGAGACTGAGCACTGGGAGTGCAGAAGTAAAGCAGTTAAGGCTGGCTTGGAGCACTGGGAGTGCAAAAGGAAAGCAGTCAAGGCTGGCTTTGAGCACTGGGAGTGCAAAAGGAAAGCAGTCAAGGCTGGCTTGGAGCACTGGGAGTGCGGAAAAGAGAGAGAAATGTGTTTATTTCTAGAAGGAATGGAAGCCACATGCTAACAGAGTGTGGAGTGCAGAGATCTGACAAAGGCAATAGGTTGGTGAACCCAAATATTATTTTGTTCTAGTTTAAACCCTGAGAGAGAGGGAATCTGATGTATGTTAGTACTCAGACGAGCTAGGCTTTTGTTTACAGGAATTTGTGTTATTGTTGTTTTTTTATTTGCTGCTGTAGCTGTGGTGGAGTTTAACAATAAAACTGCCTGGATTATATGCAAACCAAAGGACTGTGCCTGTTGTTTACCCTAGAGGACCGTGCTACCTGCAGACAAGAACAACAAAGAGTACAGTAAAACCATATAAAAAATATGTGTATGCAGCAGGCGCGTTTCGGCTGGGTAAGCCTCCTTCCAGGGCTGATAATTAGGTCCTCTTTTATAGGTCCCATCTTCCTTGATCACCTGTGTAAGATTCTGTATTCGCGGGACGTCATTTCTGGTGTATCCGTATGATGTCACTTCCTCTTCCGGCTAGGTGTAACGCACATGTGGAATGCAACGTTCGTTTGAATGTTGTGTCGGCCGGCAGCAATGTTTGATAAGTCCAGATGTTGAGAGTGAAATCATAAATGACTGCATCTTTAAAGCTTTAAGGCAGTCCATATGTACTCATTTAATGGATAAGAATAAATACAGAATTAGTGCATGTCGTTATTAAAATATTTCTAAATAAAGCAGGCTTATATTAAGATGAATATATAACAATAAATAAATAAACATGGCTATAAATGCATAAAAAACATGTAAAATATATACCTAATAAAGAGTGTAAAAATTGGAGTTGAAAAAAGTCGGTATGAGAGGGAGAGAGAGGTATCTAAATAAATATAGGCTCTGAAAATGGTTATTTAAAATGATTTGTTTTACAGATAAATTTATATATAAGGTAAAATGTGTACAAATATTTATAAAAAATTAACAAATTCAAAGTCTAGATTCAAGCCATTAGGGGACAAGGTATTCATATCGAAGATCCATTTACTCTCCATCTTTGCCAACTCTGTTACATTATTTTCTTCTCTCCAATTTTTATATCTCTTAAAAATAACCATATAAGATAAAAAGGATTGGTTGCCCCTGTGTTTTTCCAAAAAGTTAGTTGAAACACGTTTCATATACCCCTCTGGATATTTCCAATGTGTTCTGCTATTCTGGTTTTGAATGCCCTAGTGGTCATTCCAATATGTTGAAGACCACACGGGCACCAGAGGAGGTATATGACATTAGTGGATAGGCACGTGATTACTTAGTGTAATTTAAAAGTCTGATTGGTAGAATGTGAAGTAAAAGCTGTACATTTCTGTTTATTAAAAGAGTCTTTTTACACGCTAAACATGATTTACAGGCATAATAGCCATTTTCCAAACCGAAAAAGTCTTTCTCTGGTTTCTTGTCTCTAATAAAACTAGTAGTTAAGCGTTGCTTAAGATTTCTTGCTCCTCTGTAGATTATGCTATATATATATATTACTAAAATATGATCTATTTTATTTTTGATATTCATATTTTAGAGTTGTTCATATTTGAATGTATTAGAGCCCACAATTTAAATTTTTTTTCTTCTCACAAAATCTGTAATTGCCGCTGAAAAAGTATACTATAATTAAACTATATCCACCCATGCAGTTAAAGAGTGGAAGGGAAAAATGTGAAGGTAAGAGAGTGGACAGAAAATTAATTCAGTATTTTTATCGCCATACGATACATATATTGAGATGGCACTGTAAAATTACTGATAAGTTGTCCTTCATAGAACAGGCACTTGTCAACCATTAAGATATTGATTTTTCCTGTCCGTAGATGACCAGAGCCATAGAGTAACGATTACCTACTGGACCATGCTATGCTTTAAAATCAATATTTGGCATTTACACTCAGTGGATTGATTCCCTTATGACTTTTTCCTAACTTGTCTTTCTTTCCAAACCATTGTTTATAAATTCTCTTTCACTTAAATGTGTAATTATTGACATTTATTCTGTGTTGGCCCTCTCCAACCCCTTTTTATTTTTTTTGCTTTAAAGGTGAACTTTAATCAAAATATTCATTAAAGTTCAGTGTAGTGTATATATCACCTATAGTTCTGGACGGCACCACTTTCATAAAGTGTGATGTATACTTCCAATTTGATAACACTTAATGAGAGCTCTTGCACCCATCCCAGTGGTCTCAGTCACAGCCACCAAGGTTGGACAAAGTTTTTTAAGTTGATAACGCTGATGTAAGTTCCAATGCACCCGCGAAACGGGTATTCTCCATGACCCTTGGATATGTCTTGTTTTTGTCGAATTACTTCAAATTATAGATCTCAGGCTTTAGTGTCTTCGTTTGCGATTGAAGAAATATTAAGATTTTCTCATTTCATACTAATTTATACTAAGGTCTGCTTTTGTCTTCCTTTACTCTTGTAAAGTGGGCCATCTCCCTGTTTGATATCAGGTTTTTTGTTGTTGTAAGGGGTGTTGCCATTTTTGTCCCACTGAAAAGCCTTCAGTGCCTCTCCCTTTTTATGCCTGGAAGGTACATCTGAGATGTTAGAACATGTTTTTGTTGCTCTGACATTGGCCCATCAGGTCCTTATTTCTTCTCAATCTCGACATTAATATTCACAGATTTTTTTTTTTCAGTAGTAAGTGTTTGAGGATGGGCAGTGCTGGCTCACTCTGGTTCTAGTCTGCTTCCTCTTGGTTTATTTTAGGCAAATTCTGCTTCAAAATAAATTTTGTTGCTGAGAAGTGTTTTTTTTTTTTTGCCTGGGGGGCAAATCAAGTCAAGTGGCCCATTGCACCAAGAGGAGAGTAAAAACACCTTTCCTATGTGATTGAAAGATGGGGCAGTCACCTAAACAGACACACTCACTGACAGGCGCACACACACTAACAAACACACAGACACTGACAAACACACACTGTTACAGGTATACTGACAAACAAAAAGACACACACACACACACACACACACCACACACAAACTGGCATACTTACAGAGACATACTAGCACACACAGACACACACAGACATACTCATACACACACAAGCACACACACTCTACACTTTTAAAGCCAGTAGACAGGGGTTGAGTAAGGGGACAGGGCTGTAATTGGGGGTTAGGAAATGTAGTGGGGGGACAGGGGCTGGAGTAGGTTAATGGCTACAATTTGGGAAAGGGCTGTGGTGTGGGTGATATGGGTTGCAATTGGGGTCGAGGAGCTCTAGTGGAGATGTTATAGGGCTGTTGGGACAGGGCAGGGGCTGAGGAGGGAGATAAATAAAAACAAGTGTATTTCTTCCCCCCCTCCCCCCCTCCTGGAGTCTTACCTTAGGTCTGGGAGGGGTGGGCAGGAGCCAGGGGCAGAAGACAGCAGCCAGTGAAGTTGGCATTTCCGGGTGATGTCAGGAGGAGGGGGCATGACTTCCAAAAAGGTATTTATTATTGGGCATTGCCACCATATATTTGCTGGATTGCCATCAGGTTGATTACAATTCCAGCATAAGTTTATGAAGTTGTGCAATAGTTTCTGAAGTGGGAATATAATGCTATCTAACTATTGTTTTGTAATTACTACTCTCTAAGTTGTAGGACCTGTGGATGAACATAAAGATCTTTTTCCAGTTCTCCTGGGTAAGGGTGATTTTGTAGTTCACGCTCCCAACTAGATGTGCAATTTGGGAGATTTCCTTGTTGTATAATCTGTAGGAGAGTATACATAGTATATGTTTTTTCTTTAGTGAACATGAGGAACAGAGGTTTTCCAAGTTAGAGAGTGTACAGTGCCCTATTTGGGTAAAGCGTCCATTGTTGAGGAAGTGAGTAACCTGGTTGTAATGGAATTGTTGGAGCTCTGAATGTGTTGTATTTTCTTTCTTTTTTTTGTACGTAGAGGTTTTGGAGCTGCAGTTTCTGCTTTAATTAACCATCACAGTGCTTTGCAGAGCTAATCAATTTTTTCAAATGCTTTTTTATTATAACTTTTGTAATTTTCCCAAACTACATGGAAAACAGAAAAAGTATATATTCTACAATTAAAATAGTATAATACAATATACATGGAAACCAAATTACGAAAGGACAAGTAAAAAGAATGGAAATGGAGTAAGGGAAAAAGGGGTAGGATAGAAAAATAGCAGTAACTATATTCAGAAAGTGCTCATCATTCTAATGTTGGAAGGCATGAAAGCGCACTACACCAGATTGTTCTCTTCTTGGACAACTGGAGTTCCAGAATTCTCCTGGTCATTCTTTTGGGAAACTTATGGATAGTTCTTTCACCTTTCTCTTGCACTATCGTCTATTGGCCGTGTATTTTTAATACTGTTTTTATATGGTGGAATTGTGACCATTCAGTAGAAACGTTGAGAAAAATTTACTATTGGACATAGTGCTTTAATAAACAAAGTCCGTTCCTGTAGCTTGAAATGTCAGTTTATTTCCTTTCCTCTCCAATTCTGTAAACTATTAAAGGGAATATGATTAGGAATATTTTTTTGGCGGGGGAGAGGGGAGTTTGTGATGCTGTGCTGAATTTAAATCAATTGTTTTATTCTGTGGCAGTTTGCTTTTGACAATTTTTTATTTTATTTATTTTGGTTTTTCAGGTATGGAAAATTGCAGTTCAAGGACCATGTTTTATGACTGTTTTTATGATTGCGTTTGGCTTACTATGGGGTCACTTCCTGCAGATAAGACCAACACAAAGTGTTTTTATATCAACTTGCTTGTCATTATCAAGTACACCTTTGGTATCCAGATTTCTTGCAGGAGGGTCTCGGGGCGATAAAGATGGTAAGTATGCTCTACCGACAGTGATTAATCTATGTATTTTAACTTCTTAAGAAACTTAGTATTTTGTACCTTCAGAGTTAATTTTCATCTTTGGAAGATCTGTTATTTTTAAACTAGCTGTCTCTTTCTAGATGTGAATAAATAAGTTATTGTTGTAGTTTGGGTTTTCTGTTTAGATGTTCTACAAATTACTGCCTTTTTTCAAAGCTCAACATGAGTCAAATACAAAGAGCATTACATTTCAGCAACCAGAACAAGAATACATTTTCATGTTCAAACAATATATTATGTGCATGAAAATTAGACAGTATCCAGAATTTGTAGATTAGTAAACTTTCTTATTTTTAAATTTTTTTTAAATGGTATATTACATTAGACTGTGTTTGTTCTAGCTACATTCTTAATACATTGCAGCACAAATTGCAATGACAGGTAAGCATTTTATTGCCATAAATGAGGGGTAAAAAGGGTAATTTTTAATATTAACTGTAAAATTTTAGTATTACAGCATTTAAATTTTTGTTCTATTTTTTCCCTTATAAAATGTTGTTTTATTTCCCATGCAATATTAAGGCCTTGTGGACCATTTGTGAATGAATGCATTGAAAAGTACCCAGAGAGGAAACGGGTAGAGCGTAGATTCACAGTACAGGATTCACAAAACTGGAAAATGAAATTTGACAACAGAATAGCTGATTATTAAATATCTGATTTAATTATTATAATTTTTTATTTATTTTTTAAGTAATGGACAATTCTTTCATTAGTGAATAAACAACTTCCTTCTGTTAAGCTACTGTACGAGCCACAGCAATACCATGTAAATGTAAACATGTTGTTTCAACTCTGTAAAAAAAAATATGCAATTTTCCGCTTCTTTCTATCTAAACATATTCTTTTTGCAGGTGATATTGATTATAGCAGTGTTCTCCTTGGCATGCTTGTAATGCAGGATGTGCAGCTAAGTTTATTTATTGCGGCTATGCCAACCCTGATTCAAGCAGGTGGAAACACTTATTCCAGGTAATGCTCCATTGGTCTAATTTTATTTACATTTTCCATAATTGGGTAGTTTTGTGTCCTCTTGCATAACATGACATTTTATTTAGTCAGTGAGATATACCTACAGGGTTCTGCATATCCTACTTTATTAACAAGCAAAACTTTTTATACGGCAATATCTTAAAGCTATTTCAATGGTTCCAATCAATGTTTGCATCTTGTGACAATTGAATATAATGCAATAGTACCAATCACCGGTAAATACTGGACTCCTCTCACATAAAGCACTTGACACCCATTTGGCGTAAGATATTCAGTGGTCTACATGGCATCCATACTACAATCTGTATAACATCTATAGATGGTATGGCACCCATATAAGATGCAGCACCCATCTATCACATTGACATGACACATTTAGAACCCACGCGCACTGTAGTTCATGCCAATACTGGGTCTGGAGACTTCATAGAACATTCAGCTTTTATATCTCCAGAATCTTTAATAGTATTATGGATCATTAATATGTGGTTCACAGTTATATATTTTGTGAACTACATACTACTGACCCATAATGCTACAGGCATTTTAGTGTCATTGGCTTTGTGAACTCATATTACCAAAACTCATATCTTGCTGTATACTTTGATAACTCTTGAATGCTCTTTAATCAAATATCCTCATATTCATTATCCCCCAACTAGTGCAAATTACTTTCATCCATCTTCCACATACATACATTGACTAATTTCAATATGTAGTCCGTTCTTCTCAGCTCAAATATCACAAGGTAGCCAAAAATAATGGATTTGGAGAAATTTTTCCAACTTGGCTATAGTCGCAACTTTTTTAAAGTTTAATTCCTGAGAAGCAGAGTTTAGTGTTTAAAACTGATATCCTTCAGCATTCTTTTGGATCCAAAGTAAAACTGGTTCAAAATTTTTACTTTCTTTACTTTACAACCTATTCTGTTTGTATCCCAGTGCTAATAACCTTCACCTGTCCTCTTTTGGCACCCCACCTCTAATCCTGCATACTGAATTGACAAATGACGCTTTGATTCTGCCTAGACCGCTATAACACCACACTATCATACCTTCCTTTAGTTTTTCAGACTTTAAAATAAAAAAAAATCTCTATTTCTGGAGGCAAGATTGTCTACTAGCTGATTATCTATTTTCTTGACAGTCTACCTTGTCTAACCTCAAATAATTTGTATCCCCAAGGTCTGCTCTAAACGTGACAGATCTTTTAATTCTGCATTGCCTAACTATATATACCACTTTGCACTGTCCGAGCCTTTAGATTCTGTATACCTACATTTCTTTTTCATCACTTATTTTCAGCAATATTAGTTGTGTGCAGCTCTATGGAATAGGCTTGCACTTTATATTTAAAAAAAAAAAAAAAAAAGAGTATATACATAAAATATGTATAATTTGTTTTATGTGTGTTTTTCTACAGCGTTCTGCTGGAAGTATTCCGAATAGTGGCACTTATTGGACAAATTCTATTTTCTTTGGTTGGTGCTTTTCTGATTTGCATCATTATGAAGACATATCTCATTGGCCCATACTGCCGCAAGCTGCATACTGAAAGCAAGGGGAAGAAAGAAATTCTTGTTATGGGGATATCTGCATTTGTCTTTCTTATGCTAACGGTATCTATAGCATTATTCTTTATTTATATTGCCTTCTAGTAATTGTGACCAAATAAACTGCACCAAATGTTAAAATATCCTGATTTTCTTTTTTTTCAAAATCGTATCATTTAAATTAGGATGGCCAGGAGGTAGTTCTTTAACGTTTGAAATATCACAAATCCCTTTATGCTTTGTCAACCTACAACACCTTGGCCACCCTCGATTTTTAGATGTAAAATTGCTTTTTTTTTTAGGCAGTACTAATTAAAATGTGATGACTGGCAGTTTAATATCTCTGCAAGAAAAATATAGTATACATAAGGAATCTGTAATTGAATCCTTGCTATTATGTATTCATAGTACACACACTGTATGGTTGAAAGAAATATATGTTAACATCTAAAGCCTGCAAAGCCTCTGTGGTTACATTTATATATGTTTTTACTGGAAATCTTGTTAAAAATATTCTACACATGGCGGTCCATAAACATATCTGGGAAAAGGGATGGAGACACATTGACATTTATAATTTGTTTGGATCATATTACCATAAAAAATAGTGTCACACATATACACACATTTACATTTTATACATTACTTGTCTATGTAAATTGAAGATTTGATGTTGGATTTTGTTTTCATACTAGTAGTGGAATATATACGCTGCAATTCATTGGCTTTGTTTTTTTGTTTTTTTTTGCCAGCTGCAGGCACAGTTTAGGATATATTTGCAGGGTATTGCAATGCTTGCTTAATGTTTAAGTGACCTTTTATTCCAAGGATAAGTAAACTTTTTGCAGCACTGTGCCAAAACGAGTATTAAATCCTTGCTGACACCAGGAATCCCATGTATTAAATATTAATCGAGATACCTGGAGCTCTGCTCTTTCATCTGGGGGCATTTTTAGTGGCCCTGATTGATGAGCTGCAATTCGCACAGGAAGTCAGCACTGCAAGCAGTTTTTCAAATAGGTATTTAAATACCTAGAAAGAGATTGCAGTATGAGCAAGGTTAAATGGATATCTGGGGCTCCCAATATCAGCTGGTGCCATTTTTAGTATCCCCAGACTGACCAATGATCTCTATGCGGCACTGGAAGTCAGTGCTGCATATCGCCACTATCTGCTGTTTTAATTAGGAAACCTGTCTTCTGATATCAGAATTGATATTACGGTTAGTGATGAGGTTGGGGTTAGGTTAGCTTAGATTTAAGTGTTAGAGTAAGCATTGGGTAGATCCTAGACATACTAGGCATTTAAGAAACAGGACTAATATATGAGTCTTTGTTTAGTTATTTTTATTTAATTGCACTGGATGTGCAAATACGTGAAAAACATATATTTTTAACATTTTATCCACACATAAGGTTGCGTTAAGTGTACATATAGGATATTAAATAAAAGCCTTTTCTTTCCTTCTTTGGAGTTTAAAGGACCACTATAGTGCCAGGAAAACATACTTGTTTTCCTATGGACGCAGGCGTCTTCCCACTGTGAAAATCACAGTGAGAAGCGCGCAAGCGCCTCTAGCGGCTGTCAATGAGACAGCCACTAGAGGCTGGATTAACCCATAGGTAAACATAGCAGTTTCTCTGAAACTGCTATGTTTACAGCAGAAAGGGTTAATCCTAGATGGACCTGGCACCCAGACCACTTCATTAAGCTGAAGTGGCCTGGGTGCCTATAGTGGTCCTTTAACCCCTTAAGGACACATGACATGTGTGACATGTCACAATTCCCTTTTATTCCAGAAGTTTGGTCCTTAAGGGGTTAACCCCCTAAATTACAGTGCAACAAACACATAGCACAAGTTCTATGTTTTGGTTTGGTTCAGAACTTGGACAAATACCTCCGCCCTTGGCACAGAGTTATATATTCAGTACATTCAATCCATTTAAATACATGAACAACATGTGACTCCACAACGTACAGCACACAATGATACACTACAATCTACTTGCACTCCTGCATGAATATGAACCCCAATGCACAGATCATGAAGCAACAATTAGAGGCCAATAACCTTAAATCCTGTGCTGTTAAAACTCCTCTTGATCCACCAAGTCAGAATTACCTTGCATAAGATTAACCCCTTAAGGACACATGACATGTGTGACATGTCATGATTCCCTTTTATTCCAGAAGTTTGATCCTTAAGGGGTTAAAGGACCCCTATAGGCACCCAGACCACTTCAGCTCAATGAAGTGGTCTGGGTGCCAGGTCCATCTAGGTTTAACCCTGCCTGCTGTAAACATAGCAGTTTCAGAGAAATTGCTATGTTTACATATGGGTTAATCCAGCCTCTATTGGTTGTCTCATTGACATCCGCTAGAGGCGCTTCCACGCTTCTCACTGTGATTTTCACAGTGAGAAGACGCCAGTGTCCATAGGAAAGCATTGAGAATGGCTCTTGCCGTGCATGTGCATTCTGGGGAGGAGAGTCCCCAGCGCTGGAAAAAAGTAAGCCGTTAACCCCTTCCTCCCCATAGAGCCCGGCGGGAGGGGGGCCATGAGGGTGGGGGTACCTATTAACACTATAGTGCTAGGAAAACAAGTTAGTTTTCCTGGCACTATAGTGGTCCTTTAACATTCTCAGTTTTACTTGCACAATATTGACTGCATGTATACAACTTTAGAAATACCTGGGTTTTCTTTAAATAACTACCAGTAATAATAAAATTGTACAATTACATGTTCTTGCAAAAAAATTATCCTGCGCTCTGGGTCCTACATACAGGCTGCCCTGTGGCTGACAAGCTATCTGCTTTTATATGCTATACATTTGAAATGTACTAAAAAAATGTGAATTCAGGTGAAAGCTATGATGCCTTGTTGACATAAGCTGTGTGAATTACACATCACTTGTTCCAATACTTTGCAATCAAATATTTTGTACAAGATAATGACAACATACCGGTAATCCGGTAATCTAAATGGTGAAAAGGTATGGAAGTTATGTTAAACCTGTTTACATACATGTTGCTTCTGTAACAATTATAATAATATTTTCCAGTTATCAGCAATGTTCCTTCACAATTTGATTATTCATGATTACATTATGAAATATTCACAAATCTCTTTAAGAAATTCGAGGTCCGTCTTATTTTTTGCTAATTGAAAAGAGTACATTGTTGGATAACCTATGCAGGGTACTTACAATGCATGTCTTGTTGTGTTTCCTGGCAGCTAACAGAACTTTTGGATGTTTCAATGGAACTAGGCTGTTTCCTGGCTGGAGCCCTCATGTCTTCTCAAGGGCATATGGTGACAGAAGAAATTATGTCATGCATTGAGCCAATACGAGATTTTCTAGCTATTATTTTCTTTGCATCTATAGGTAATTATTTTTACATATAGAAACTAAGTAAGTACTGTTTTTTGTAAAAAAATAAATAAAATAAAAAATTGGAATTAATGAAGCAGATTCTGGTTCTGTCACGCTACAAAATTCTGAGAATGGGGAACTGAAATTTCATCCTTTTTACTTTGTTTTTCTAAACCACAGTATACATAACTGGAGACTTGTCAAGTTTCACCCAGATCCTCTGGATCAGAAAACTGAGCTCCATAGAAACAACAACGCTCTGAGTGGGGATTTCTATGCCTATTTTCCCTCCAAAATCCTCACTTATTTAAGACCGAGCACAAACACTTTTATGCCTGTTTCAACTCCCTTTCTGTTTATTTATAGCCACTTTCTATATGGAAGAATTGAAAAGTTATTAGATATAATTTTGTATATTACCTTGGTTCATACTTCTGATAATATATAGGTAATTGAACTGAAGGGAACTAACAGAGCTGGATAAAATGTTCCATTAATGAAGAAGCTTTTTGTCCGTTTCTACTCTGCTGATCCAAGTCTGTCACATAAAAACAGAATGGGTCTTGAAATAACAGAAGTTTCCATAAAATGCATAAACATTACTTTGATGCTTGCTTCTTAAAATAAGCTTCCAATCACCAATTCTGTTCACCAATTCTGTTGGGGCATAGTGAATCTGTCTGTTATAAGAATGCATGATAAAAATAAAGAATAAAAAAAAAAAAAAAAAAAGCTTTCAATTCCCATAGAAAGGGTCTGTGAGGTGAATAGTGTTCAGTTATCTAAATCTGGCTATTAGATATGTGAAACACGTTTTGCTATTTACCAAAGGCTAACACGTCCATTTTGTTGTTATTTGGTTTGTTGTTAAAATCAGTAGACTCTTAAAGCTTTTATTTATATATTGAATTTTTTTTTTTTTTGGTCAATCTTTATTTTTGTAGTGCATAGATTAACAGTTATGCAGAAAATAACATGTCAAGATTACAGAAAATAAAAGGAGTTGCCAATACAATATATGACATGAGAGGAATGAACACTTTTTTTTTTTTTTTTGGTAATACACAAATATTTAGATGTAGGTCATAAAGATGTTTGATTAACAAGAATATTGGTTGACCACGCTGCTAAGAGCACATGAGTTGATGCCCATCATGTTACAGTGACTTAAGAAATAGTATCAGAAGCTTCAACTGGTAAGACTTAGAAATTAAAAATGCATCACATGTAAGGAGAAAAGAAACAAAAAACAAAGGGCCATCAAGGTGTGTGTATTCTGGGCTCTCGAAGCACACCTAGACAGATATATCTAGGGAGGGAGCGCAAGATAGGCACTCCTTGGGAGAGTTGCAACAATGGGTAAAAGAAGGAGCTGCCTGCATCTGTTCTCAGATCCAGTGACCCCTGGAGTGTAGCCCCTTCAACCTATGCCTGTGTCAATCAGGCTGAGTGCAGGCAGGTAAATGAAGAAGGTAGTGCCACCTGTGGTGTTGTGTCGTGCGGCATAACTCTGACCCCAAGTGGTGAAGGGAACAAGTTCCCACTGTCCACAGGCTTCTCTCTCCGGTATGAGGAGAAAGCCTGGAGATCCTGGGCGGCGGTGCTTCATCCTGGTGTGTAGACTGCGGGTGGGTGCACTTACCCCCTTGGTACCATGCCTGGTAGGAGGGCACCGAACCAGAGTGACAGGTGGTTGTGCCTTCGGGGTGGGAAATGTAGATTGCTGGTTCCAAACCTCCAAGCCCATCCAAAACCTCCGGCATATGTAATCGAAAGCCTTCAGGAAATCATCTTCCCAGTTTCAGGTAGTCTCCTGCTCACAATGCTTAGTTACTGCAGTTTTGGTGGCCATCTTGGACCGAGTGGGAGCTTCCTTCACAAGATTCGCCCAGAAGCGCTGCCGAGGTGAGTATTTGCTTGGTGGGGACCCGGATAACCCCCACCAGCCCAGAGGGGGGAGGGAGGGAAGAGTACGGGTCTCTGATAGTCAGCAAGTTGATCCGGGCAGTTCCAGATACAGGGATCGGCTGCTTCTCCCATCGAGGCTACACCAGGCTGCAATAAACTGGAGGCCTCAGCTGCCGAACAACCGGATTGGCGAAGCCTGGAGCCAGCACCAAAGTTGCCCAGGAAGTGCCAAGCGTATGTGCCAGTGTCTGGGAATCGAATTGCCAGGGTAGTTGCACCCCTTAAATCACTTTAAGCCAAGCCCCGTCCCTCCTGTATTATTTTTTTAAGCACCCTTAGACTTAATTCATCCAAATTCCCCCCATAAATACTATTCTTACCTAGTGCCAACTTTTTTTTTTTTTTAAAGACTATTTGTCAGGAACTATTTTTTTAAAAACAAAACCAAACAAATAATCAGTGCACAACGAAATGTGAAAACACAAGACAATGCTCAATGTTAACAATGGCATCATTAAGCCTGTATGATGACATGATGCAAGTTTTTTTTTTCCTGGTCCTATTAATAGGAGCTTAGACTGCTGTAGGATGAAAATTAATAGAATTGTATAGATTGGGGACAATAAGGACGCTATAATGTATGTGGGATCACTCTTGCCTATATCAAACATTAAAACACTAAAGGAACACTATGGTGTCAGGAATACAAACCTTTTTTCCTGGCACTAGTACTGGAATACATTATTAGGTCCCCAATCCCTCTCTCTGTTAAGATTAAAGATAAGCCTGCCTTTTTCCACAACTACTTCTGGCCCCCTCGCCATGGCCGAGATAATCAATCTTAAAGATCCCCGCTAATCCAATCTAAGCCAATTCAATGCTTTCCCATAGGAAAGCATAGGGATGCTTTTGCACATGCGTGGGAAAACTGAATCAATGCATCTCTGTGGGGAGTGTTTAGCACCTCCTTGCAGAGCATGGATGCCACAACTGTGAAGCACTGGACTAGGAAGCACTTCTAGTGGCTGCCTTTTAAACACAGTCTTTTCTCGGATTTCTTTGTTTACAGTACATTAAGCTGTAGTGGTTCTGATGACTATAGTGTCCCTTTAAATATCGGACTACGCATATAGATTGTAGGACAAAGAGCAGCACACCTGAAGTGACATTTATTACACACACCGGAACATATGTAGGTATTACGCAAGCCGGATATTAACGTAGTAGTAAGGTACCATTGGATGCATAATTCTGGGCCTGATTGCAACTCTAATATATTTGAGTGGTTCCAATGTAGAATTTGTTAAGCCTATTTGCTAATATTTGTTTGCACAAAGTATTGTTAATATTAAGTATTGTGTGTTTTCACTTCCACACTTCCAGTTGCGCACTGATTTTGTTTTTAGATTATGTAATTGGTGGGAACAATATTAGTGCTGCACAAGTAAACATTAGGTTTGCACATTTATATTTAAAGTTCTGGTTTAACTTTGTTTTTGTTTTGTAAAATATTTTCCCTACAGCAAAGTAATTATTATGACATTGTAAAAATATTGTAGACATTTGGCTTAGGAAATTCTCAGTTTGGTTGATAGTGAATAATGTGAATGATTTTTATCAGCTGAATAGAAGAGAAATTAGCCAAATGAAAGTGACTGAATTTCCTGTTAAACATTTTTTTGTAAGCCCCATGATCCGTTAAATACTGCTCACATTGTTATCAAAAAAAAGTTAATCTTTGCTTTAAGTGGGATTTTTTTTGTTTGTTTCATGTTTAATATGGTTATATTTGTTTTGAGACTGTTAGTGCATTTATATTGAAATATTGATACCTGAAAGTGAACTCACCATGTCATAAGCTTAGGTATGGAGAGCTAGCAGTCATAGGAAATTCAGTTCTCTGTAAAATAATTGCTTTGTACCTAATTGATTCACTTGAGCTATAGATATCTACGGAACACTGACATGAGTTACATTCCGTTTTGATAGTAGATGACTAAATATAATACAAATTACATGAGCTACCTGCATAGTCATTTCTATCAGTAAAATGAAAACAAATCTTGATATTTTTCTATAATATTGTACTATATGACTACCACAGGATATCATTCTGTTCATATTTACTATTTACACTTCCCTAGAATTAACTTGTCTTATTTTACTATTAAAGGGGCACCCTAAGTGCCATAATCACTACATGCTGCGAACGTGGTTGTGGTGCAATGCTGCTCAGTCAAGAAATGTTGTCCTAATTTGGATAAAATTGAGATTGCTAATGCAGAATTGTAACGTCCACAATAGCAATATGATGACCGAGGTGTTAGGCCACATGAAAATGGTTTGACACTGAACTAGGTTGAAGCACTGGGGGCATGTTGGAATCATAACCATGACAGCAGGATGTAGTGGATATTATGCCTACAATGCCCCTTCAAATGTGCTGTATAGGGGGAACCGCATCTTGATGGCAAACATTGGAATCCCTGATGTCTGCGAACTTCATTCCCTTTGATGCATTGTGAGAAATGTAATTCCCAGATTCTGGGAGTAAGAAGGTAAGCCATTACTGGCCTATACTTACAGTTATTTGATATTAAACATACATATGAATGCTTACATTGATGAATACATTCATTCTATCATTTAGAGTTTGTACATTAACCTTTCCTTTATTTCTGACCTATTTATAGGACTTCATGTATTTCCAACTTTTGTGATCTATGAATTAACGATTCTGCTATTTCTGACATTGTCGCTGGTGATGATGAAGGTATGTTTTACGTGAGCATGTAATTTTACAAAAAACTCCTCAGACACTAAGAACCGTGTTTATCATTTTGGAGTTAGCCAATAAAATATCAGCATTATAAACATATCCTAATGCATAAGTCACCGCCTTTACAAATGGCCAACGAAGGACACTTGTTTTTAAGAGCTGTGATCATGTTGTTGAATTATTATTTTTAGGTGTGGTCGTAACCTGTTTATGTCCTCTATTGTAAGCTTTTGCAAGCTGTTTATGTAATTAAGAGGATACTCTGCACAAAAACAACTTTAGCTTAATGAAGCCGTTTTGGTGTGAAGATCATGCCCGTGCATTCCCACTGTTCAACTGCCCTATACATGTCTTCTCTGGCTCAGACTCACACAGCCTCTATGGAACAAAAAAAAAAAAAAAAAGATTTTATTTTTGCAGCATGGTGTGTTTATTTAGAATGTCTTACCTTCTGCTCTGATAATTGAACCATAATCACATACAGGAAGCTACTGCAGACTCTTTGGTGGTAATTAAAGGACCACTATAGACACCAAGACCACTACAGCTTAATGAAGTGGTCTGGATGCCAGGTCCATCTAAGGTTAACCCTGCCTTCTGTAAACTGTTTAAGAGCTATGTTTACATATGGGTTAATCCAGCTTCTAATGACTGACTCATTGACAGCCGCTAGAGGCGCTTCCGCGCTTCTCACTGTGATTTTCACAGTGAGAAGACGCCAGCGTCCATAGGAAAGCATTCAGAATGCTTTCCTATGGACTGACTGAATGCTTGCAAGAGTTTGTTTTCCTGGCACTATAATGGTCCTTTAACAAAGCAGGAAATAAAATACACTCTGCAATAAGTGAAGCTAAAAAATGTACTTATTATTAGTAAGTCTGTAGACAGGCTGTGTGAATTACAGCTGGGGAGGTGTGGATAGGGCTGCATAAGCAAAGTGATTTTACTCCTAAAAGGCAGAGACTTGAGCAGTAAGGCTGCAGGGACATGATCTGTAAACCAAAACTGTTTTATTCTGCAAAAGTTGTTTTGACCTCCAAGTGTTCCTTTACGTAAAGATTAAAATGCCATAGCCACTGTAGCTTATTGTTATGGTGCTAGAAGGTTATGGATGCAGTCACTGGCTTTGTCAAACTCTTTTCAAGAGACTTGACAAATTTTCCCAGCACCTAGAGCCCTCTCATTACAAACATCGTGATGCACATGTTTAATTCCTCATTATCTGGCCAAGATATTTGTATGGCATGTGCACGATGTGCGTGTTAATATGTGCAGTGTTAGGCTTTGAGGATGGAACAACATACCAGAAGGACTGCAGGGATACAGCATTTTTTCCTACTTCTTTATTATGATGCCAACTTTGAGTGCCAAGAAAACACTGTCAAGCCGCTTGAAAATAATCTCATGAAAACAGAAAATGTTCTGCTCCGTAACCACTACAATAATCTGTAGTGGTTATAGTGCTTGGAATATCTCTTTGAGTTATTAACTTAAAGGGACTCTCCAGTGCCAGGAAAACATATGTTTTCCTGGCCCTGCAGTGCCCGTCTTCCTCCCACCCCCCATTCCATGTTGCTGAATGGGTTAAAACCCTTTCAGTGACTTACCTGAATCCAGCGCCGATATCCCTCGGCGATGGGTCAGGCTTCGCCCATGCTCCCCGCCAGCTGACATCGACATGTCTGCGCATATTAGACCTCCCCATATGAAAGCATTATCCAGTGCTTTACTATGGGGATTCCGGCGATGCTGGAGGTTCTCATGCATAGCGTAAGGACGTCCAGCGTCGTTTAAAACACTTTTCGTGTTCTTAGAAGCCGGAAGTCTCTCTAGTGGCTGCATGATAGACAGCCACTAGAAGAGGACTTAACCCTGCAAGGTAATTATTGCAGTTTATAAAAATTGCAATAATTACACTTGGAGGGTTAAGGGTGATGGGAGTTGGCACCCAGACCATTCTAATGGTGAGTGTTCCTTTAATTGCAGTCCAAGTGCAAATTTGCATTAATTTTATTACTGTGGAACTTTGCAAAACATTCTCTCCAAGGGATTTTACAAAATAGCAAGGGCACTGGGTATGATTAACTTTAAGGGATACCATAGGCACTAAAACATCATACCCCTGCAGTCTCACTGCTCAATTCTCTGTCATTTAGAAGTTAAATCACGTTTGTTTCTGTTTATGAGGCCCTAGGCACACCTCCCCTGGCTGTGACCAACACAGTCTTCATTCAAAAATGTTGTAATTTCAATCAAATCTCAACTTATTTTAGAAATTTTTATCTCGCTCTATAAATTGAACTTTAATCACATACATAAGGCTCCTGTAGGGTATAGGAGGCTATTAAAAGAGCAGGAGATAATGAATTCTAAATTAAAGATCATGTTCAACACAGGATGTTTAAATATTATATATCTCTTTAAAGGAAGAGTTTAGGAAGGTTATGTGAGTCATGCCTGGAGGTGTAACTAGGGCTGCATAAACAAAGCGATTTAACTCTTAAATGGAAGAGAATTGAGCAGTGAGTCTGCAGGGGTAATCTATACACCAAAACCTCTTTATAAAGCTAAAGTTGTTTTGGAAGCTCTAGTGTCCTTTTAAGGCAGTTTTAAGGGCGCTCTAAGTACCATGATTACTACAACCCACTGTAGTGTTTACGGTGCGGTCCTTCTGTTCTGTGTCAACCTACTTGAATGATTTCACACACGCTAAGAGTCTCCTATATGCCTCCAGCTTGACCACTCTGTTTATACCACTAGTACACCTCTGCATTAGCAATATCAGTTTTGTCCAGGTTTGGACAACATTCATTGGCTGAGAGTGTAAGCTGTCATGCTAAGTCAATGAACTCTGTCCAAACTTTGATAAAACTGATATTGCTCATGCAGGCATGTAACTTCCGCATTAGCAATATGGACCGCATGAGGTTTTTCCACAGGGTCCTGTGGTAACCTCTGGTTGTGTCAAACTATTTGAACATGATTTACATAGAACTAGAGCCTGCATTATGCAGGTATCATAACCACTACAGTGGGCTATTTAAAAAAAAAATAAAATTAAAAAAATTTTTTTTTAACTGATTGCAGTTTGTAGGACCCTTTATTAAAACCATGTATTTTGACTTGAATTTATTGTATACAGAATTATAATTGTCTTAATGTGCATATTTTGATTCTTCAGTTTGTTTTAGCTGTGCTTGTACTGTCACTGATTCTGCCCAAAAGCAGCCAGTACATCAAATGGATTGTATCTGCAGGCCTGGCACAAGTCAGCGAGTTCTCCTTTGTTCTGGGCAGCCGCGCTCGTAGGTCGGGGATCATTTCAAGAGAAGTATGCTTTAACTTTTAGACGTTCTTTTTAAAGAAAAAAAATTATAATAATTTTATCCGTAAATTTTAAGAAATAAAGTATATGCATTTTTAAATTAGATTGTGCTAAAACAAAAATAAGTAGAAAAATATAGTGCATGTTATACCACGAGAGAACATTATTAGAGAATTTTAACAATATGTCTACATTAATAGAAGAGAATAATGTTCCCAAAACATTATAAATGTTGCTTTGTGGATATCACCAGATCTCCAAGATGGCATTATTTTCTCACTCACACTTCAGAGTTATGAATCGTTTAAGTTTTTCATGCTTATTTTTATTTAGGTTTTTGTTTTCTTCCACAGCAACTAGAATGCAAGTGATAGTTCCAGTGCTATTCCTACAGCAATTAAATAAAATACACATATATAAAATAATGGCTAAAATTATACTGGTCATACTGTATATTGAAACCAAAAAAATAGACTATTTGAGTATTCCAGTATCAAATGTCAGCGGATCATGTGGCTATAATTAGCGGCTCAAGGGAGAGAAAATATAGCAGAATTACCAAACAATCTTGATATAGACTTAAATCTTATTGACGATTCATTTTCATTCTCTGTGGCAGTATAGTCATGGTTATATCACAGTGATTAATAGGTTAATCCGACTAATTAGCAGATATCTTCCGATCAATATTTGAAACTAATAGACTTGTATATGCTGAGTTCTTGAAGGTTTGAATTAAACATGTCCAAAAATCAGTATAGAAACTTTTAAATATTTTGCAGCTTTTTAGAAGGGAAATTATTTCCTTCTATTGACTTGCACACCATGGTGGCATTCAGTACCTTAGTTTGTCCCAGGGAGGGTGTGAGATTACCTTTTAAGGGAAGTGTATTCTATCATTCTAATAATGGGATTTCCCTTGCTGAATATAGTATAAAAACAAGCCAGACCACTGGTACCTTAACTAGTGGATTTTTAAAGTCACACCATATGTATAGCAATTTGCAAGATATTAGATACAGGTAGCTCTGTATATCCATAGACTGATTTCACTATTCGAATATTCCCCTAGAGTGGTGGTTCACAACATTTGTGGACCAAACTCTTGATTTCTTTACCTTTATCATTAGCTTAAAAAAAAGCTACTTTACTTGATGACTTACTAGAGATATATTCATATTTCTAGCCAAACATAGTTGTTAGTTTTAAAGGAACACTATAGTGTTAGAAATACAAGGCTGTATTCCTACAGTGCTCCTCTACCCCCCACTTCCTGGTGGCACTGAAAGGGTTAAACAACACTTTCTTTTGCTCGCCTTATTCCAGCGGCGAAGTCGCTCTGGCTCCATCTCCGCCCTTTACGACATCAGCGCAACGAGGGAACCTCATGCCCATGCGCAACGGGTGCCACTCACTTTACGCCTTCCCCATAGGAAAGCAGAAACTTATGCTTTCCTATGGGGATTTCGAGGATGCTAGACATCCTCATGCAAATCGTGAGGACACTGGTAAGAACTGGTGTTCTGGTGGCTATAGTGTCCCTTGAAATTAATAAATACGTAAAAATTGGGAGATTTGTATTTGATTCATTGTTATTGGTAGATACCAGCGATTGCGGAGTTTCACTTAGGGCCTTGAAGAGGCGTTTTACTTTGCCTCCGAAATAATGATGGAATTTGCTTGATCTTAAGAGACAACACAGTTTTCTTGCCATTTTATGCCATGAATCTCCAGTTCTTACCAACTGCTAGTATCTGTGATTTCAACAGTGTTTGCCATTGAGTAAATCTCAGTCAAACTGAGGTTGCACCTTCGGTGCTGAATATTGCATTGTCAGAAATGAATATATAATTAGGAGCATAATATGGATTACTTTTCAATGCCTAAACTCTAAACGAAAAGTAATTACTTGATCTCATTAAATTGTTCCCCATTGTTATTTGCACTCGTTCATATTAATTCTAGGGTGCTGGGCTGTTATGCAAGGAAAGACCATACAATATTAAAATACTTTGTCACTATGTTAGCAGATTTCAGATTTTTTTAGATATTTATCCTATTAATGCTTCTACTGTATGTATTTAGCTGCCTACCTCTAATACGTACTACTTTATATCTAGGGGAATATAAGTTGCTTTTAAGTGTTCTTTTGTTCCCAGGTTAAACATTTAATTTTATACAGTAGTTTCACTTTTAGGTTAAGCCGATAAATAAATATAATTGTCACATTTCACTTATCAGTTTTCTGGAAGGGTTTTATAGAATAGAATACCTTACAATGTTTGCCTAGCTACCTACGTAAGATTGCATGTTTTGTGTCGCATGGTAGTTAGTCCTGTCTAATTTGTATAACAAACCAAACTTTGACTGACAAGCTGAATGCTGGTTTTATTGGTTATGTTCTGTGTTCTGTGTGTGCATTTGCTTTGTTTGTAGTTTTTTATGTGTGTATATTTTTTTTCTTCTTTCTAATTCTGTTTCTGAGCAAATGGCAGTGGAGACAAAACTCTACTTTCAGCAGTAGAAAGATTATGAAAACATGTAGATCTAGAACTATCAGAATTCCAGATGGCAGCTTCAAAAAAAAAAATAATAATCTGTTGATACACAGTTAAACATATAGACAGCTATTGACTTAATGTTATCAAAAAATGTTTTTCATACACTAAATAACCCTGAGATTATATTAGTTTGCACTGTACTTTCACTTTTATTTTGCACTGTATTTTTTTTGTAGTGTTTAGTATGGGGTATGTAAGATAAAACTTCCACATTTAATTATTTTTAATTTCTCTCTGCACCACTTGCAGATCATCTTCACATATCAAATAAAATCAAAATAAATTTTTCTTTTATTATTAGTATATTATCTTTTTATAAAAATAATTCTCATTCTTTTATTTATTTTTTTATTTTATTATTTTTGCTTTTTTTTTATACCACCATACCTAATGTGAACATTTACTAATTATTCTCTTAGTTTTCTGATCCTCCTTCTGTTGCTGGTCTCAGGGGAAAATATGTTGTGCTGTAGAGAAATGACATAGGCGTTTTCTGAACATATGATAGCTTAGGGGACAAGATGTTCTTTGAACATATGATACCTTAAGGGAAACGATTTTATACTGCATAGTATTTTCTCCATAATCTAGCAATATACACAGGCAGTGCAGACTAAATTGAAATGAGAGTTGTTTTTAAAGGGCAACTGTCATTTCCTCATATTTGTAATATGTTTACTCATCCATATATTGAACAAATATTTTTTTTGTGGGGTGTGAAAAATATATTTAAATGTAGAACTCCTGTACTGGGTGCCTCAATTTCAGTTCCATGTGTGTCATTGTTGTAAGTTCTGTAGGAACAAGAGGTTTCCCGCGCTCTCTTCACAAACCAGGTGCTTAGCTGGATCCGAGGCTGTCTGATTTACAAACCTTGAGTACTTGGACCATTCTATTCTTTCTACTATTGTTATAAGTTCTGTCCTTTGCACCTGGTAATCAGCATAGAGAGACCACACAAAGAAGAAAATAAATTAAATAATGTGAGAGATTCATTAAGGCATTAAAGCAAAACAGATGTTAAACTGGGGCAAAGAGCTAACTAAGAAGTTATCACTGTGGAAACCAATAGAATGATACTCAACATTTAGTACATTGCACCCAAAATAGCACCTGTTTTGCCTTCATAAATCTCACATATAGTTTATATTTCATCTATTCATTTGCAATGTGTGTTCTGGCTTTTGCGTTGTCAGAACAGTACTACCAAAGCATGTCATGACAAAAAAGTATTACATGAGTTATAAGTAAATTTCAATAGTGTACAGAAGTAGTGACAGTCTAGCTTTGAATCCATTGAAAGAGAGCTTTACAAGATACTAAGCTGTTTAGATGGAAAGTAGTCCCGATCTAGCTGAAATGCCTTGAAATTAATTTATATTATGCTTTCTTGTTCCAGGTCTACCTGCTTATCCTGAGCGTGACAACATTAAGCCTCCTGCTTGCGCCTGTATTATGGAGAGTAGCTATCACCAGATGTGTTCCAAGACCAGAGAAACGTGTGAGCACTTGAGCACAGACTGTATTAGTGGTGGCATCGAGGTGAAAATAATAACACACTGTTCTTTTAGAGATTGGTGCCTCTCTTCTATGATTCTCTAGGCTTGCTCCCATTAGATAACCATGCAACCCAATAGGATTGGGTTAGCAGCACAATTCAGAGCAAGCCAGAGTGGGTGATGCTTTTAATAGTGACGTGTTTTAGGATTTCCACTCCATGGTCTATCACACTACATTTATTTTTATTAATTACATAGAATATATGACATCCTGGAGAAAGCCTTGAATAATTCTCCTTAATGTGCCTTTGTATGGAAATTCCTTGTAAAATAATAGTGTGCAAGTGCAATCTGTATTTTTCCTACATGTCGTGTGCTGTTGGCAGAATCAGTTTGTGACCGTGCACAGCACGTTTACTGTGGACTCCCGCTGCTGAATATCCTGCTCGGAAATATCAGTTTATCTAATGAGATCATATGGAAGCTTCAGGTCTCACTACCAGGCACATAATATCTGTCTTTAGAGCTAAGATTAAACTAAAATCTCTGCAATAATGAATGCCATGCGCATTGTCGTATTTTGCCAACTCGTTGAATTATTGTGTATGAAGGAATATTGTATACTCTTTTTTTTTTTTTTTTTCTCCACTTTCTGAAACTAGATTCTATCCCTTCTTGTTTGGTGTGTCTTATCGATGAGGCAGGCTATGGTTCTCCTGCTTCTTCCTTACAGGTGTAATTCCCTGTGATGAAGGTATTTCTTTGATATAATACGTAACTGCACACCGCATTAGCAATGTCCTTAAATATATAATAGAAGGAATTGTATTTGGTTGCTGGGAACATAATCATATTGTTGCACAAAGCTGTACGAGTGTTACTGTTATTTTTATATTGTATTGACTGTTAACTAATTGCATTGTGTTCAATAGAGACCAAAGGGAATAACAGAGATCTATATGCCCATGTGTTAAGGAATGCTGCTAATAACTTACCCTTCGAAGTACAAAGAAAATGAGCTCTGGTATTTGAGGGTATAAAAGGGGCCAGTGACGGCTGCTTATTTCCCGAAAACAATTGCACATTTTTTTAGCCCAATATGCTACCAACATAGCCCTAAACATTCTATGTGCACAGAGGCATTTTATATTGATAGTTGCTTGGATCAAGCATTAGGTTGCTATGTTTATTGTCACACCTGAAGGATGATTGGTAAATTAATGGAAGAAACAAATAAAGAAAACTATTTGAATCTGTTTTGGGTTTATGAATATGTTTTGTAATTAGATTTTAATAGTTTATTCCAATTATATGCTGGAAATGACTTTATGGTGTATTGTTTACACTGTTCCACACAAATGTATAATAGAATCATTAATTGTCACATCAGAAACACTACTAGTGGCTGTCATATAGATAGACAGCAACTAGATGCATATTTTACCCTGCAGTGTTATGGCAATGCTTTTCAAAAACTAAAGGGCCACTGAACCCAGACCAGTTTATTGAGATGAAGTGGTCTGGGTGCCTTTAGTGATCCTTTAAACACTACCTAGATACTCTATAGTAGTTATAATATGTACCTCTTCTGTCCACATCTTCTGTGGTTGTTTGTGACTCAATGCTATCATCATGGCCTCTTACAGCAGTTCTAATATGAAGCTGTTGTAAGGAGCACTGGGACTCTTAACGCATGTTCACAAACCATTTTGTCAGAATAACAAAATAGTTCTCAAGTCTGCGAGATGAGTGCCCTTAAATAGCTTTAATATCTTGATCTAAAAAAGTAATTATCCACACAGCAACCTTGTTCACAGTTACCATAACTTTCATGGATATTTTATGTTAATCAAGCACAATATACACGCATAATGTTTCCCATAACAATAATGTTAGAGCACAAACTACTCCACAACCCATTCTGCTAGCATTGGTTTGTTTACTGAATGAATCAGGAAAATCATGTAAACGTGACAGGTGTACATGTAAAACATCCACAAGCTCTATAACAAAGGTCCTCATCCAAATATAACGCATACAATGAATGAGTTTGTCAAACCACCTACTGTACCTAGAACATTAAGGAGAGCTAGCCCATGTGTTACAATTCTTGAAAAATTTGTTGATGCATTTTCTGACGAGAACACTCTATTCTGGAATCTACAAGCTTCCACTACTCTTCTAAAAAGTCTTCATCACACCTTAAGTTATAAACCTAATTTTGAACGTTTTTAACCTGGCGTATTTTGGACATGCCTCCCTTTTGTTTTCCTTGTATCCATTAAACTCATTGTTAATTTTCTTGTGTAAGCCTATCAGTGCATGACCAAACTGGTTTCTAGGCATATTACAGAAGAAGGCATTAGAGCCCAACTTTGCAATAAACAGGACACAATGTGTTGCCTGCCATGTAGGCCAGCAATCTAGTTAAACACTTTGCACATATAGATGCTATTACTGGAAGCAATCGCAATTTACTTTTTCATGTTAATTTATGGCGGGCAGCTCCAGGATTAACTTGTGCATTTTGCGTTCTCTAAAAGTTTCCTTTATACAGCTCTAGAATTCTTTCACTTCATACTCCACTTTATGGTAAACTTCATTGATACAGATTACTGTTCTGCACACAAAATCTACATTTTAGTAGATTACTGCAGTAGAAACTGTCTCTCATGTTTGTACACACCTCTGCTCAGTGTACTACACAGTTAACTCAATTTAATTCAATACCACATTCCCTATATTATACTTATAAACTCCTCACTAGACTGATGATTTCAGAGCCCCTATTTCTTTTCTTTTCTTTTCCTCCTCTGTCTCAGTGGTCACATTATCTGTTCAGAATCTATGTGTATGTCATCCAGCCCAAGCTCAAATAGGTAGTTTGTCATGTCCCACTCTTGAACTTCCATTATCTCATAGGTCATATGCCCAGTATTGGATCTGGTCATATATTATTCTAGCCTTGGTGAAGAAATTGGCTAAATTGTATCAAGGATAGGAGGCAAATATTTGCTTAAACCTTTTTTACTGATACCTCCAGCAGCAAAGAAACAGTTAACATAACCAGTAAAAAAAAAAAAAGAGAAAAAAAATTCAAGACTGCCATAACAGGGTGTCTTCCCAGACACCAGCTATGCCACGTTCTTCAGGTTTGCAGTTAAGATTTTCTTGTGCCAGGAGCCCAATTGATGATAGACCTAACATATTCCATGATCTTCGGAAACTGTACTTAATACCAGAAGAAGGTGAATTATTAGGTGAGAATTCCTCTCTTGATCCAGGAGTGATGGTGACTGAGGAATGATAAATCATAGCAAGACAATTCCAGAAGCAACGGAAACAACGGCTGAGTGCTCCAGAGTTGTTCTTTCAGCAGAATCACCATGCACTGTTGCTTCAGAAGATAAAGGCCCTGCTGTATCATGGAGAGCAAAAAAAAATTATATTCCCGTCAAGGAGGCCATGTCTGCAGGAATGCGTTCACTGCCAGGCAGAGAGAATCCAGCAACCAGCTAAAATAGAGTAACAATTCACATTATATGTGAACAGGTCCAGACTGAGAAGGCCCCGAAGGAGATCCATGAGGCGAAAGACCACTGGGTGTAGTCTCCAATTGCTGACATCTCTCCATTGATGAAAGAACCAATCCGCAACAAGATTGTCCCGGGGGGGAGGTATTCCACCCCTAAGGAGAGATGTTTGTCAAGGCAATACTGGTAGAGGTCTGAAGGTGCCAGAAGTTCCAAGCAGCAGTCACTCAGGCTATTTATGCAGTGGGCCACCAACACATTGTCAATCCGGAGAACCAGAGAGCAGTGGGTACTATCTTTTGTGAAGCTAAGAACAGCAAAGGATCCTGCAATCCATTCCAGACAGTTGATGTGCAGGTGTTGTTTATCTGGACTCCAAAGACCTCCTAGAGCCACAATGTCGCACTTCGCCCCCTAGCCCATGGTGTGGACATCTGATTCCAGTACAAAGTCTAGGCGGGTTACAAAGATGACTCTGCCATTCCAGGCTTTCATGTGGCTCAGCCACCACTGAAGTTTGAGACACACTAACTGTGTTAGAGATGGTCTGGTCGTAAGATGAATAGGTCGGTAGGTTCGGCCTTGCATGGAGTCATAGGGCAGGGGACGAAGACAGAAGACCAATCACCCAAGCCAGATCTTTTTTTTTTTTTTTGTGACCCATGTGGTCGAATATCCTTCTTCAAGCTGCGATCTTGGAGGACAGGAGTTTGACCATCGCCTTCACTGAGTATAGCCCAGAAATTGAACTGACTGAGAGCTTTGCTTGAGTAATGATAGGATTTTAGGGGGCCTTATGGATATTGGTCAGGCTACAATTTGGAAAGAAAAGCAGACATCAAATGGCAGTACAATGACATTACATGCAGAAGAAGGGAATCTGCTGGGACTAAAAATACCAATACATTAAATTTAGTTACAGCCTAATATTTATCATTTTTTAAATAGAATTTCATTGCATGAACAATGTGCCTCTAGAATTACTTTTCTACATTTTTTAATGGAATTTCTCATTTAATCATTATATTTATAATGTAGATAATGATTCCCTAAACCTATATTTTACAGAATTTTTTTTTTAATTACCTTTTATATATTTTAAATCCTCTTTTGGAATGTATAAGAGAGTGGCATATGGGTGTGGGCTGACATCTCCATCAGCGTGTAAGGAAACATGCTGTTCTGTCTCACTGACTCTCAGTCTTCCATGGAACTATTTTATTTTACTCCCCTTCCTTTTTTTACATTAACATTGATATTCATTTTAATTTACCAAGGATATAGTTACTCCTCCACACTTCAGGATTCAAGGGAATCCTACACTTTAGATGTAAACACTCACATATAAATCACTAGCCATCCCTAATCCCCATTATGTGTCTTCATTAATTCACTTACACCCCTTCTCAGTCACTGTTCTTGTGATCTTCTCCTATCCACGGTTTGCACTGCTTATTATCATCTTCAGGATTTCTCAAGTGCATCTCTTTTGCTATGTTACATAGTTACTTAGACTGAAAAGAAGAGACATGGGTCCATCAAGGTCCAACTTTCTCACATCTGTTTTTTTTCTGTTGATCCAAAAGAAGGATAGAAAAAAAAGTTTGAAGCACTTCCAATTTTGCAACAAACTAGGGGGGAAAATACTTCTTGATCTCAGAATGGCAGTCAGATTTCCCCTCAGATCAAGAACCCCACAATTTAAAAATTATATCCTGTGAATATGAATATTATGTTTTTGCAAGTATGCATCTAGTTGCTGTTTAAACATTTGTACAGACACTGATAAAGCCACTTCTTCAGGCAGAGAATTCCATATCCTTATTGTTCTTACTGTAAAAATCTTTCCTTTGCCTTAGACTTAATCTCTTTTCTTTGGGTCTAAACACATGACCTTGTGTCCTATGTATTGTCTGGTTTGTGAATAGATTTCCAGAGAATAGTTTGTAATGGCCCAGGATATATTTGTATAATGTCATCATATCCCCACCATTTTTCTTAACTAAAGAGGTTTACATTTGTTATCCTTTCTTCATAACTAAAATATTCCATTCCTTTTATTAATTTTGTTGTCCGCCTCTGCACTTTTTCTAGTGCCATAATACCTTTAAGAACAGGTGCCCAAAATTGCACAGCATAGGAAAGATGTAGTCTTACCAGTGATTAATAAAGGGGCAAAATGAGAATTAATGCCCTTTTTTATACATGACAATACATTACTGGCCTTAGTCATTGCTGATTGATATTACACATTGTTGCCTAGTTTGGTGTCTATAACAAATCCCAAATCCTTCTCATGTGTTGTTATCTCTAATTTAATAAAATTTAGGGTAGAAGTTGCTTGTGTATTCTTTACCCCGTAGTGCATAACTTTGCATTTTTCTACATTAAATTTAATTTGCCATTTGAGTGCCCCAATCTATCTAAATCCCTCTGCAGCAAGGTAATATCTTACTTCACAGAGTTTTGTGTCATCTGCAAACATTGAAACATGACTTTCAATGCTTATTTCAAGATCATTTATAAATATATTAAATAGAAGCGGTCCCAGAACAGAACCCTGAGTGACACCACTTACCACTTTTGTCCAGCTTGAAAATTTACCATTAATGACAACTCTCTATACTCTGTTTTAAGCCAGTGTTCTACCCAAGAAATAGAATTTTCATCTAGACCAATTTCTTTGAGTTTGAACATTAACTTATTGTGTGGAACCGTATAAAATGCCTTGGCAAAATCCAAGTAGATCACATCCACTGCAACACCTTGATCTATACTTTTACTTCTTTGTAGAATGCAACTAAGTTGGTTTGACATGACCTATGTTTCGTAAAATCATGATATTTGTTGCTGGTAATGGTGTCTAATTCCAGAATGTTGTCCCAGGCACAGATATTAAGCTCACGTGTCTATAATTTCCAACCAAGGATTTTGAACCCTTTTTGAATATAGGAACCACATCTGCCATCCTCCCAGTCCTGAAAGAAAATAATCTTGAAATATTACTTATTAGCTCTCCATCCCAATTAGACTTTACTAACCTTCAATCCTTTAAGACGTTTCTTAATACATGCCATAACACACGTAAATAATAATAATACGTTTTATAAAATAGAAATACTGTTTTTCAGGTGTAATGGTCAAAGTCAAGACAACTGATGTTCGTTTTAAAGACCATAAAGTTCCACCTATAAATTATGCTAGCAGCATTGCTAGCAAATGTATAGATTGGGAGAAAAACTGTTAAAAATAAAAATAAAAATAGGCCTTTCCTCCATCTGTCAATCCACTCTTTGGTTTGAATCTATGTGCCAGGTAGAGAAGATGAGACCTCCTTCAGGTGGTCCTCCTGCTCTTCAAGCATACCACCCACACAGTCAGGACTACCTACAAAGTGGCATAGGTGGCAGCCTAAGACACAGGCTCAGACGGGTCCAGTGGAACATTGTACTATGCCAGTAACCAGTGGCTGTGAGGGGTCCTATGTGAGCCAGCAGGGGGATCAAAAAGCTCTCCTTGCTCAGCCCTGTGTCCTCTCACCTTCTTGAAAGTGTGTTGTGGTCTCTACTGGGTGCAGACCACTTTAAGAGTTCCATCGTAGTCCTTCTGTGTTTCTCAACGACTCAGAGTGCCGCAACCAGAGCTCTGAGTAATTGACTGAGCCCTGAACCACAAGGAAGTTTAGTAAATGAACCACTATGTGTTAGGTCGCAAGTCATTCAGACAAATTATGTGATTAGCTGGCACGAAGATTTACATCAGCAAACATCAAATTATTTAAAGTATTTCCTTTGTGTATATATATTTTTTTAATGAGTTAGGATTTAATTAACATTACTGTTAATTACTTAACATTAAGTAAATTAATTAACATTACTGCTGGCCACCTGGAGTTTGCGCCCCTCATGCCGGTGCGCCCTAGGCAGCTGCCTGTGCCACCTTATGGCTGTGCATGCCCTGTCCATCTATCCAGTCGCTATGCTCTACCAATATGTTACTTCTTATAGAGAAGCACTGAATTAAGCACCATGCTGGTTATGAGGATGTCGAATCTGAAAGATCTTAGAAAATCTAAACTGTTAAACTCTCAGAGGCGGTGATTCAGACAGCCAAGTTTTCTTTGACAAATGCAACCATTGCCATTTCTCTGAATCATCAATGCTTTATATTGTCAGAAGATAAAACTGCAGTGGTTTTAGAGTGTTCCTTCAATGGGCAAAATATGCTCATTTCAAAAAAAATAATAAAACAAACAAATAGGCTTGTATGTTTAATTCATTCTCCCATTAACAAAATAAAACTTTTTTTTTTTTTTAGACATAATAACATGTAACATTCATCTAGATGAAATAAACAAGGCCTAATAAATCCATCAAGTGCAACCTTTTTATATATTCCCCTGTAACTAACAAGCTTTGACACGCAAGCTTTTATTTTCCCAGATGTATCTGTGCTATACAAAAAAGACAACAGATTGTATCTTGGGTTCTGCATACCTTGTCTAGACAAACATACAAAATTGCATTGCCCAAGAACTATAGCACTGAGGGAACATACACCGGGCAGCTTGTTAATATAGAAAGTGAAAACAGCCATAAAACCTCAAATACAATCATAGAGACTATATATATTTCTCACCTGTTTGTATCAGTCAAATAAAAATTACAGATATGCCCAGTGGGTTCTCGGTTTTAAAACATACTGAAGAAGTTGCTTCTTCCCACAGCCATTTCTAGTGATGGCTGCTGAGAAATGTAAAATTTTGATAGCAGTAGCTTTATCCCTTTATCAAGCTCAGATAATGTCAGTAATCTATTGACTTACTTGGAATTTCAATAAATTTACAATTTACAATAAAATAAGGATTCTGTCTATGAAATATTGTAAACTGATTGGTTTCAGCTGAGGAATGGCACAAGACAGGGGTGCCCACTCTCCCCACTACTATATCTAATGACAATAGAACCACTGGCGAGTATAATAAGAGACAAAGATTCCTTTAAAAGAGGAGAGGTGTCAGGTGAGTCAATAAAACTTACAATGTATGCAGACGACGTAATACTCACATTGAGTGACCCTCTGATATCCCTTGACGAACTGATGTTATTATAAGTGAGTTCTCATTGTTCTTAGGATATTAATTGAATTTAAATAAATGTACAGCACTCCCATTTAATCTATCACAAGCAGTTAAAAAGAAACTATCGGGGGGCGGAGCCTGACTAACAAGCGGACTAGACGTACATGTCGAGAGCTCCTGAGTCTGGAGCCGAGATTCGGGGTCTTACACCCGACCACCTGATCACATCGACTGCTCAACGCAATAATCGTGACAAGGAGACTGCACTGCAACCGGAGATACCCGACACTTGGCTCTCCGGTGCTGAGTGGACCAAATCGTGACCTGCGGCCTATGCGGGTGGGAGCCGAGGAGAGACGGCCGCTCTCCCGGTTCTCTGGCTGACAAGGGAGCACTCCCAAATCACCTCCCCTCCCCCCTCTGGACCGGTGGGGGTTATCCCGGTCCTCGAGAACCCAAGCTGCCTCAGTCGCGGACGCTTCTGTGAGCCCTGCAAACCTCCCTAGCCACACGGGAGATGGCGGAGGCACCAGGCCCTACAACACGAGGTCTGATACTGCCACAACCTGACTCAGCAGGCCCTAAGACCAAAGTAATGGATACTCTGGGAGCCATAATCGACAAGTTTTGGGCCATGCTGCTCAACCGTTCAAGGCAAGCAATAGCCACACGGGAGCCCGGTCAGGAAGACAGTGTAAGAAATAAGGAGCGGCCTGGGAGGCCTCTTATGGGCCGACAGCTACCCCACACTACTCCGACTACACTAAAGCGACGGAAGCCGTGGAAACAACACTACCGGCTGAGACAGCGAGCCGCGGACAGGTACCCTGCCCACCGCTGCCGTGATGTACCGAACCCCAACGTACTGCCACCTGTCCTGGGCTACATGGAGAAACCACCGCGGCCACCTCTGAGCCGCTCCCTAGGCCGTCCGGGGCAAGACATCTCCCCACCAACTGAGAGAGCCGCTGCCTGGCGAGGCACCACCATGCTGGACAGTCCGATATACCCTGTGGGCATAGGCTGAAAGGGATCAACCAGAGTGACATGTGGAGCTGGAGCCACCTCTATACAATTAACCTCTTCACGGGACATTGTAACAGTCAGCAGAATAAGGCTCCGACATCCACACTCAGCGTGCACATTGTTCATACTTTTGTTTAATTTTATCTGTACCAGATTTGCCATGTTATATGATTTCTTAAGCACTTTCCTTTTCTTGCATCGCTTCAACCTGCATAAGTGCCCATAACCTCTCTCAGCAGGATTAACCTGCGATTAGAAGTCTAACATTGAATACCCAACTCTGTGTCTGCTTAGGTTTGGGTAATGTAATCTACATCAAAGGAAATAGTGCAGTAACTCAGACATGTGATGTACTCTATTAGCTAATATCTTGCAATGTATAAGATTGTGTCTCATAAGCCTAGCAGGAATAGCACCCTAAGTCTGAACATAACTGTATGAGCCCAGCCCTCAGAAATGCTGGACACACTATTTCAGCCACCACCATGCCCCTAGTTTATCCAGAATAAATAGCCGGCCGAAAAAAGGGCACTAGCCGAGCGGGCCCACACAAGCCCTCTATTGTACAGCATGGCATAAAGGCGATGCAGGATTGTTTTGATGCTCCCAAACCTGAGGCAGAACTAGATAACCTAGCCACACGGAAGTCTTTGGACGCCATTTAATATATAGCTAACTGTGGCCGTAAACGCGGGCCGATACTGGGTTCTCAACCATGCAAAAACGCAGTCATACCGAATATTAATGTTAAGCTACTGTTGTTATACAAAAATGTGCTGATTATTTTACTGCTCCTACTGTTATGCTTGAAAATATGCTCGAGGAATGCTGTTGGGGCACCACGAGCTTGCATGTATCTCTTTCAACGCACAATAAAAAATAAAGATTTAAAAAAAAAAAAAAGAAACTATCCAAAAAATGTGGTATTGGGTGCTTGGGTATTGAAATTACAAATGAGCCAACCATATTGATAGAACATCATGTGTTAAACTTGTTGAGGTATACAAGTAAAACACTTAACAAATGGAAGAGTGTGGAGGTGTTCCAAATTATTATGCAATTGATATTTTTTTCATTTACCTAAATAATTGATGTAAAACAGAGTCAGGATAATTCTCATGTTATCAACTATTAAGAGTGCAATTCAAATTTTATTGAACAGACCATCTAATGATAACAGTATTTTTTTAAACATAAAAAAACTTACAGTGCACTGTTCCAAATTATTACGCACAGTAAGTTTCAAAACACTTTATAGGTTGTAAAGAACTGAAAATTGTCATTTGTTGTGTTTGCAGCATATTTACTGAAATCAAAAGCTATTTCAATCAAACTTAAAACAACATTTTAACTTTTTAAACATTTTAACAGGTCATGTTACCTTTTAACATAGGACCCCTTATTTTATAGCTGCTTCACAAGTCTTGCATCCATTGAACTTGTGAGTATTAGGACAGTTTCTGCTTGAATTTGTTTGCAAGATGTCAGAAGAGCCTCCCAGAGCTGCTATTTGGATGTAAACTGCCTCCCACGATCATAGATCTTTTGCTTGGGGATGCTCCAGAGGTTCTCAATAGGATTGAGGTCAGAGGAGGATGGAGGCCACACCATGACTTTCTCTCCTTTTATCCCCACAGCAGCCATTGATGCAGAGGTATTCTTTGCGGCATGAGTTGGTGCATTGCCATGCATGAAGATGATTTTATTACGGAAAGCATAGTTCTTCCTTCTGTACCAGGGAAGAAAGTGATCAGTCAGAAACTCCACATACTTTGCAGAGGTCATCTTTACACCTTTGGGGACCCTAAAGGGGCCGACCAGCTCTCTTCCCATGATTCCGGCCCAAAAACATGGGTCACAAGCATGATTATGACCAATCAAGTCACACATAATAATTAAAACATTCTGGCCCCATTTACTGTGCTCTATCGTGGTTTCTGTTCTCAGTACCCTTTAGTGCTTTCATTGTTACATTGTGATATTTCTGGTATAGACCTTGGCTTTATTCCTGACACTGAGTTTCACTCCAACCCTTTTCTGAATAGTTTACATGTTCTATTGGTATACCGTTTACCTGACATGGGCTAGTTCTCATCTTTGCTGTCTCTCTGTTACCCTGATCTATGCCTGTATTTGACTCCGCTCTCATGTACATTAAACTCAGCCAATATAAGGACATGTAATATGTAATTTTAGTCTAGTCTCTTGTGAGCATTTGGTGACTGTTAAAGCTTCATTGTTGTATGTGCTATTGTTGGGGAAACACCCTTGTCTTTTAAGTGTTACTCCAAGCATCATTACTACTATAACATGTTGTAGTGCTAATGATGTGAGGAGTACCCTTGTGCTCTTCCCTGGTGGGCTCTGAATCTTCCTCAATGCCGGCTGGATGGCATCTGACTTTAGCACAGCTGCAGGATATGAATTTCATTCCAATAATTGGTTAATTTTGGGCAATACCAAAAAGTATAGGAAATGGTCCCTATCAGGCCTCAATTTTGTCCAACATTTTGTCAGTAAAATGTGGATTGATTTTATGCATTCTACAAGGGATGAAGTACCATCTTTATATAATTTTGAGATGTGTTTCCCAATGATTGGAACATTCTGTTACCCCTTTTAAAGCAGGAACAAATTTAAGCCATTCTTCTAAACCATATTGAGTCTCTAATTCTTTTTCCAAGCCAGCATAAAATTTGACTTTAACTCAAACTAAGGCATTAAATAAGAAGAACATTGGAAAATCGTATATATCCTATTTGAGTCATACAGATATGTTTTTACTTGATCACTTAACGCCAATACACTATCATTTTGATCTAAATTTAAGATATCTTTTAATTTATGAATAATCGAATAATAAATATTAATGCTGTCAGGTAAACCACATTTTTCTTGTCATTTTTAAAAAATGATATTGGAGAATTGCCTAAAAAAAAAATTGTCAAAAAATTGAATGAAATATAAATACCAATTTTTTTAAATTTAAATGTGGAAATCATGTTTCAATATGGACAAGGCATTGCTCTTGACCATCCAGAATTAGACCTAACAGTTTTAAACACCATGTCCCAAGCCGTAATGGTAATTTTGATAGTGGGGAACATTTCTGCTATTTTAGGCCATTTTCTGCAATTTTTTATATCTAGACACTGGAAGCCACATATTTGATAGACATTGGAATTAATTTGTTGCTCTCTAATTCTGTCCACCTAGGGCCCTTGGGGCCCTTTGTGCTGTGGCCCTCCCTCCCACCGTGGCTAATCGCATGCCCCTGCGGGCAGCCGGTGGCCACAAAAGCACAAAACAATGTTCAACGCCGGATATGTGCATACAGCGTATGGAGTCACATCCGGCGGCTGGCTGCATGCAGAGCAGGCCAGCCACTCCCTCTTCCCTGCTGCTCCCAGTGCCAGAGGAGTGTGTGGCCTGCTTGAGCAGAATAGATCATGTAGGGCTGGACTGTAAAACCGCTTTAGAGGCTCTGTAGTGTAGTTCTGTAGTGTATTAGATTTGGGGCAGGGAAGGGCTGCAATGTATTAGAGTGGTGTACTAGAGGTAGGAGGAGTGGGCCGTGTATTAATTGGGGGGGAGGTGGGGCAGTATATTAGAGTGAGGGGGGCAGTGTGTTAAACTGGGGGAAGGGAGGGGGTAGTGTGTTAAACTGTGGGATGCAGTGTATTAAATGGGGGGAGGGAGCAGCATATTAAATTAGTGGGAGGAGGCAGTGTGTTAAACTGGGGTAATGGAGTGGGAATGGCAGTGTATTAAATGGGGTGAGGGAACAGTGTATTAGAGTGGTGGGAGGGAGGGGCGGTATATTAAAGTGGTGGGGGGGGCAGTGTATTAAATTAGAGTGGAGGGAAGGGGGCCAGTGCATTAGAGTGGGGGTGGGAGGGGTTGTGGGAGGCTGTGTATAAGATTGGTGGGGCATAGTAAGTAATTTGAATTGAAGCTAGTAAGTAAATTTTATATATATATATATGTATATGTACCCAGGATTACATATTGTTTGCATGAGAATGATTCAAGTAATTTTAGTTTGTGTTGGTCTAGGTTGAACTTTTATTTTATTTTTTTGCGGCCCACATAAACTTAAACCTTGTTTATCTGGCCCGTGTTAGACTTTGAGTTTGACATGCTTCACCTAGAGGGTATTGTGACATTGAATCAAACTTGAAAGCTGCAACCGCATAGGTAGCATGGAACTATTTTAAGAAATCAGGAATACCCACAACACTATGCGCTTCAGAATTTTTATATACAATGTTACTCTGCTCATTTGATTCTTCTATATAATTTCATTTACTCTGCCTGAGTCTTTCAAAAAAGTTATAATGGAATTGTTAAGGTGATGGCTTGTAAATAATATAATATTTTTAGTGACACTAACATGCCCAACCAGGATATTTCTAAACTACTCCACCTTTCTAATTCCCTTTGTAGGTCAGTTGATGATTTATTTAGATTAAAAGCATACATTTTGGATATCTTCTTTGCATACCCAAATAATCAATGAGTTCGTCCAGTCAAAGCAAAATTTTTGTATCCAGATCGTACCATGGTAAATTGGTAATGCCCAAGATTTATTTTGGTTGAGCTTACAACATGAGGCCTCACCGAATTCTTGTAAAATAGAGTATAATGGGTCAATTGATTTGTTAGGATTTGCAAGTAGACCAATTGTGTGTTCTCTTTCACTTACAGATATGCCTTTAATGTCTGGGGTTATCCTTATTAATTCAGCTAGAGGTTCTATTGCAAGTGCAAAAAGATGTGGTGAAAGTGGGTATCCCTGTCTGGTTCCAGTTGTGAATGAGAATTTTTTGCAAGCATAACCAGTAGCAAATACTTTAGCTGTTGGATTGTGATATAAAGCACATAATGCCTTAATAAAAGATGCAGTATAACTTTCCCTCAGTCCAAAATAAACACTTTATTCAAATAGAGCATATTTGAAAAGGTTTTATAATAAGTTAATGTGTACACCACCAGGACCTGGTACTCTACCATTTGGTATTTTATTTATAACATTCAATTTTTCATTTTTTGTAAAAAAATTTTTTTATTCTTTATTAGATGCTCATCCCACTGGCATAAATGAGCAAGAACAGATAAAGAAAGTACAAGTATGCGGAGTGAAAACAATATATACACATCACAAACAGCAGCAGTCTGTGTACAATAGTGGGTTAGGCAGTGATTTGAGTTTTTTTTTAATGTATATAATAGCCTAATAGGACTCTGCTACGCTTATTCCTGACCAATACATCTTATATAAACTACTGTATTTATGCACCATCACGTATAAGCCGATATGAAGGAAAGAACAAAATACAAAGCCACTAAAAATGTACATATTATGCCAGCAGCTCAGACAAATGATTATCACTTAGTGTATGGCGACGAATGTGAATGCGGGAGACTAAGGTGAATGGCCGAAGGGAAAAGTGTCCTCTGAGCTTCGTTAACTTAAACCGTGCATTTACTCAAATGGAGAAGTGGTGGTGGGGGGGAGGAGGGGTAAGACAGGCCTAGTGAAAACCTGCCGAGGTACGAGCAACATTACTCTTGTGGGGTCCCAGGCGTATGCTGCTTTGGTGGCACACTTTGTTCCAGGCTGGGACAGCGAATCTCATGGGAGGCCCAGGGTTTCCAAGATGGTAGCAGCTTTCTTCAGATCCTGAGCAGAGTGGGTGGAATCCCCCTTTAAGATTTGAAGTAGCCACGGAGATCGCCACTGGTATTGGATGCTGTAGGTTCGGAGCAATGTGGTAAAGGGCTACAGAGATCTCCTCCATTGCAGGATATCCCCAGATCGCCGTAGAATGTAAGTGCCATGTTTTTTAAAAGAATATGGAGACGTACCCCTGATATACTGCCTCCCTTGGTAAACTCATTAGCTCCTTTGTCTTCCAATATCATTTCTATGCAGATGACACGCGAATCTACCTGTCCTCTCCTGATCTCTCCCCGTCCCTCTTGACTAGTGTATCTGACTGCCTCTCTGCTATTTCTAACTGGATGGGCTGCCCACTTCCTTAAACCAAACTTGATCAAAAATGAAATTCGGGTCTTTCCTCCCTCAAGTGTTGTTACTCCTGTGTCTGTCTCCCTCCAAGTCAACAGTGCTACCATCAGCTCCACCACGCAGGCTCGCTGCCTAGGTGTTCTCTTTGACTCCGACCTCCCTTTCAAGCCTCATGTTCAATTTATCGCCAAATCCTGTCATTTCCATCTCAAAAACATTGCGTGCATCCGCCCCTACTTAACGCCAGATGCGACTAAGGTGTTGGTCCATTCCACTGTCCTTTCTCGCCTTGACTACTGTAATCCGCTTCTCAGTGGTCCTACGTGCTCCCAACTTGCACCGTTACAGACCCTAATGAATGCGGCAGCGAGGCTCATCTTCCTGTCCGCCCGCACCTCCCATGCCTCACCCTTCTGTCAGTCCCTACATTGGCTTCCTATAAAATATAGAGCTCAATTTAAAATTCTGGTTCTTGCTTTCAAATCTCTACATAATGCTGCTCCCACCTATATATCCTCCCTTATACACAACTATGTCCCGTCTAGGCCCTTACGATCTGCTGAAGACTTACGTCTATCTTCTGTCCATACTCCCACCTCTGATGCTCGCCTTCAAGATTTCTCGAGGGCTGCACCGTTCCTGTGGAACTCGCTTCCCTCCTCCGTTAGATGCTCACCCAGTCTCCACTCCTTCAAAAAATTTTGAAAACCCACTTCTTCATAAAAGCGTATCAATTAAACTTTTAATAGCTCATGACTGATTCCTCTTCTGCAACTGTCACTAGTCTAATACTATCCTTACCTTTTTGTGTCATTTTACCCCACTCCCTCTAGCATGTAAGCGCATTGAGCAGGGCCCTCAACCCCTCTGTTCCTGTGTGTCCAACTTGTCTGGTTACAACTACATGTTTGTTCGTGCACCCATTGTAGAGCGCTGCAGAATTTTATGGCGCTATATAAATATCATAATAATAATATAGCTGCCTTATCCCTGCTATTGTTAAATCTCACCACCAGGTCCCTGGATTCTGACTCTGGAGCTCTCTGTGGCTTCTGGACTCTGAATATTCCATGAAACGTGATGTCCTTGGTTTGTTTAACCATCAGCAGGGTCCCAATCAGTCTCCTTATTAAGTGAGGGAGTTATACTGTTGGGATCTCTTCCGAAATACCTATTATCTTGAGGTTATTGCGGCTTCTGGTATCACATTAAAACATTGCTCAAAGAGAGTCTGCATTTCGTTTATAAGAGGTAAGATTCTGAATCCCCAATCGACTCACCAGGCCAGTAAGGTCAGCTCTAAGTGAGGCCACGTCAGCCATATTCATGTCCGATCTGAGATTGTCAGGTTTCTGTTTCCTGGTCTTGTGACCCATGGTATATGGCAGCACCAGGACCCCAGTGTTGGGCTTTAAAACGGGTTAAGAGCGCCAGAATATAGTGGTAAGATAAAGAGCCCAGCAATTGTGCGTCTGGCTTGTCACGTTCAATATTTCTTGTGGGGAAATGGCAGAATCTAGAATATCAAATTTCTAAGTGGGAACTTGTGGTAAATTGACTGTCTAAAAAAGATGTAATTGTTTCTGAAGTAGGCCGTTATATAATTTACAATCTAAACCAACTATACAATGCAAACTCGGAGCAAGAGAAAATTATGTCCCCCGTTCATCACTCAAATTCAGTACTGGTCTTGAATCATTGTGCACAGTCGAACCAAGGCGTACCACATGTTGAATAATAGAAAGGAGAGTTACAGCACTTTTGTTAGGAACAACTTCCATATATCCAACAGTTGGCATTGTTGCTGTGTCCACAATCCCAAAGACCCATATTTTGTGATCTCAGGCACGACCATGATGGTACTTTATTTTATGACTAAAACAAGACTCATCAACTTGAACATAATGACCGAGGCCACCGAGCAAAACTGGGTTAGTATGAAAATAGATGATAAAGGTTATATACATCAACTACAGTGCGTTTGGATGTTCAAGTCAGTCATGTACGTTGTTTTTCAGAGGTTGCCAAATACCAGAGGTATTGGGAGCCACTTTTTCAGTGAGTTGTGTGATTTTTCAAAGAACCCTTTCTGATGGCTAACCATGATGACACAATTCTTGTTAATACATTTTCAAGAATATCCATCAGAACATTGGCGACGAGTTATCACAAGGGTTGACGGCAGTTTTCGCAATCCAGATTATTTGTAAGTAAATTGTGGTGTTTTATAAACTCGATGACATTGGTGTTATTCGTATAAGCTATAATAGGCTGGAGTGTGTTGATCCATTTTAATTTGAGGGCAACATTATAAACCCTAATAGTGACAGTTGAGGTTAAAGGTACATAATCTTCACTTGTTCAATCAGGGGGATTTAATCTGCAAATTCATTACTAATTTTTACTGGTTATGTTTTTTTTTAGTTTGGATGCCACCAGGGAGACCACCTTGTTTCCTTTTGAATATTAACTTGAAGGAAGTTTGTTCCAATTGAATCACATCATTTTAGTTTAATCTTTTATCATGGCCAATAGAGAGAGAGATGGGACAAATTCGCTCACCTGATTTAAATTGTATAATTCTTTTTCCATTTCCCTCAAGTTTTTAATCTAGTTTTCTTCAGATAAGACCCCTCTTGAATGAAATGTCCTCTTAACACTGTTTACTGTGCGTTCCATATTACCCTGTTAAAATGTCACATTTTAGCCTCAATTTAGCCGTGCAGATTTTAATTTGCTATCAGATGGAGTTTTGAGAATGAACCCTTTAAAATAGCCCAATTCCACTTTGGTCTGAAATTTTAAACTCTGTGAGTTAATTCTTATTAAAGAGATGAAAAATTCCTAAATGTAAAATGTGATGAAATACCTGTTCATTCTTTCACTGCACTGCCACTTTAATAAAATATATATTTAATAAATATATAAATATCTGAGTTTCTGCACCACACAAACAGTTATCAGTGTAAGTGATCCTAACACACACACAGCAAACCCCATGCTGCAGCCCCAGGCCAGCTCTGCCAGCTCTGTGGGGTTGGCTCTCTCAGCCAGGTAAATAAAAAAAGGCAGTTAATGACGTCAGCGCGGCGTGCACGAGTCGCCCTAGACACGCCCCTTCCTTTTCACTGACACTGGTGCTGACCAATCGGCTGCGAGATGGACGGGACGCGCTGGTGACGCTGCTCCGAGCCGACATCTATCAGCCAAACAGAAGGTGAAAAAAAGTCCACCGGAGCCGGCGCGAGGCGTGGTTTCGTCGGCTTACGTCAGACGCGCAGGAACCAATCGGAGCGCGTATCGGCCAGACGCCGCCAAGCTCGGTTTTTTGTTTGAGGTGACGAGCTGGGAGGATACAGCGAGCTGAGGGACATGAGCAGGGGGCTTGGCGGGGAATAAGGCTGCAGCCGGCAGGGGTTTAATGAAGTGAGGTGCCGGCTCAGCTCCCGGGTCCTCTGAGTGTAAACAGGAAGGAGAAGCTGCAGCCTCGCGCGCCTTCCCCTCGCAGTGAACGCGGACATCGCGTGGAGGGGCGCGAGGCTACAGTGGCTGACTGGCGCGAGGCTCTGTGTGTGCCCCCCTCCCCCACCCCGGTAACCGGGCAGAGAGCATGCAGCTCCGGGGCCTAGCTCTGCCAGCGCCGCCTCCCCCACAGCCGTGACTCCCACCGCTCCTCGCTCTACACTCCGCCAGTTGCCGGCTCACACAGAGCAGCCTAGGCCGGGCCTGCAGCCCCTGCTCTCTCCGGTGAGACCACCTGCACCTGTCGGTCCTCCCACTCCCATTACTCACCGCCCCCTGTACCGGCTGGGGGTCAGACACGGCGCTGCCGCACATCGGATGTGAGCTCGGGCCTGGACACTGCCTTCCTTCCCTGACTGCTGCTCGACAGGTTCGTATGGAGAGCGGGCTGTGCAATGTGGGGAGCACGCTGGGCTGGAGCTGGCTTACCGTGACTGGGCCCGCATACCATCCTCCCTCTACAAACTGCCCCCACTGGGGCCCTCATACCATCCTCCCTCTACAAACTGCCCCCACTGGGGCCCGCATACCATCCTCCCTCTACAAACTGCCCCCACTGGGGCCCTCATACCATCCTCCCTCTACAAACTGCCCCACTGGGGCCCTCATACCATCCTCCCTCTACAAACTGCCCCACTGGGGCCCTCATACCATCCTCCTCCTACAAACTGCCCCACTGGGGCCCTCATACCATCCTCCTCCTACAAACTGCCCCACTGGGGCCCTCATACCATCCTCCCTCTACAAACTGCCCCACTGGGGCCCTCATACCATCCTTCCTCTACAAACTGCTCCACTGGGGCCCTCATACCATCCTTCCTCTACAAACTGCTCCACTGGGGCCCTCATACCATCCTTCCTCTACAAACTGCTCCACTGGGGCCCTCATACCATCCTCCTCTACAAACTGCCCCACTGGGGCCCTCATACCATCCTCCCTCTACAAACTGCCCCACTGGGGCCCTCATACCATCCTCCCTCTACAAACTGCCCCACTGGGGCCCTCATACCATCCTCCTCCTACAAACTGCCCCACTGGGGCCCTCATACCATCCTCCTCCTACAAACTGCCCCACTGGGGCCCTCATACATCCTCCCTCTACAAACTGCCCCACTGGGGCCCTCATACCATCCTTCCTCTACAAACTGCTCCACTGGGGCCCTCATACCATCCTTCCTCTACAAACTGCTCCACTGGGGCCCTCATACCATCCTTCCTCTACAAACTGCTCCACTGGGGCCTTCATACCATCCTCCCTCTACAAACTGCCCCACTGGGGCCCTCATTCCATCCTCCCTCTACAAACTGCCCCACTGGGGCCCTCATTCCATCCTCCCTCTACAAACTGCCCCACTGGGGTCCTCATACCATCCTCCCTCTACAAACTGCCCCACTGGGGCCCTCATACCATCCTCCCTCTACAAACTGCCCCACTGGGGTCCTCATACCATCACTCCTCCTCGAAACTGCCCCACATATTTTCCCTCCCACAAACTGCCCCACAGGGGCCCTCATACCATTAATCCTCCCTCTACTAATTGCCCCGCTGTGGCCTTCATACTACCCCTTCATAAATTACTACAGGTCATACCATCTTCCCTTTTACATACTGCCCCACTGGGGTCCTTTATACTGTCCCTTTTTATAAGCTGCTCTGCTAGGATCCTACACTCTATCATTCTCTATAACCTGCATATAATATTGGGGCCCACCATACTGCATGCTCTCCTATAACCTGCCACGCTGGAGCCCTTCATACCATCCTCCATCTAAACTGCTCTACTGAGACCTTCCCAGCTGACAAACTACCCCCTGGGTCCTTCATACTATTGCCTATATCCAGCTGAAGCTCTTAATACCCTCCCACCAATAAATTGCATGTTGGGGCCCTTATACTCCTCTGCCTTGAGGCCTGTATGCATGCTTTGTGTTGGTGTTTTCGTTTTGTGATTTAAATCCCAGTGCTAGTTACCTGCACGCCATGCCTCACAGGGCCCGTGGCTGATCTCCTCCTGATGTCTCCACCTTTGGGGTTAGGTGTGTGTCGGTGACCTGGCCTACTTATAAAGGCCTGAGCCCAGACATCCAGCTCGACGTGTCTAGGTAGTCCCTGCACGTTGTCACTTGAGGTCGTGGCATCTTAATTGGGTGCTAAAATGGCTGCCTGTTCCGACTATAATGCCCTACTGTAGGAGGATCGTGCCAGCCCCGAGCTGGGGCATTGCAGGCTACCTGCTGCTCGGGTATTAGCACTCAGCCTAGGTGGGCAGCACAGCCATCTGTTCAGTAGGTTACAGTTCCACCCCCAGCATGTGAACTGTTTTATCTGGCTGGTAGTGCTTAAAAATCTAGATTAAAGGGTGGATTACATGGTTCGTTTCTGGGACAAATGTGGTTAATAGATAAGTAGGGTTCACTGACGAGTCTTTATGAGGCAAGTCTTGCCCCATGAGTTAGAAATACATTGTAACAGTAATGCATGTTTAAGTAATGCCCCTTGCAGTATATTGGTGTATTTTATAGATGGGATAATACTTGGCTACCAAACTTCGAAGCCCATTTTATTGTGATGATGTCCTAGTTGTAGGTTTCCTGTTGGCGTTCAGTTTAGACCTCCTCTTCCTCTGCCTGGTAATCTAGGCTTGGCTGGGGAGGTGGGACCCGTGGCCCTTCGAAAGAAGGGGACACGGGGCATTTTTTTTTCTTTGTAGGAACCCAGGAAGAGAATACAGGACCCCCACCATCAATCCTCGTTTCTCTTGCAGCCTGTGTACATGGCTTGGCTGCTGCACATGTGCGTTGTGTTTTTCCATTAGGCTCCATCCTCCCTCCCTTCTCGGTGCATGCATGATCCTTCGTGTCAGGGTTGTTGTGTGCTCTGTGCCCTCGGCTTATTTTGGAGGTGGATGGGAGGGGAGCTGACCACAAACACAACCCCCCCCCCCCGTCCTGGAGTGACCCTGGCCGCGGCATAAATCGTGTACTAGAGGCAGGGTTGTAAGTGTGTCTGGTGCTTTTAACTTTACAACATTTAGATGGTTACAACAAATATGTATTTTGCAAGGGTTTTATGTTTCCTATTTGTCACATTTGCCCTTATGGGATTATTATTCTCTGAGTAATAACCTCAACTGCAGATTATAAAGTTTTTCTTTGGAAGAGACGTGCTACTTGCAAGGAAGGCCACAACAGCTTCCCATAGCTTAGATCTTAAGTTCTCTTTGGCTGCACAGACCTGCTGAACAGGAGGCTTTGGGGCCCAGGAATGGGAGCTGAAAGTTAAAATGTCTTTCTATTAATGCTTATTAGTGTCACCAATCTTGTTCTAAAGTTTTTTTTCTTCTAAGAAACAATGCAGATTGTCATCAGTCTATTGCATACACCTCTTGCATACATAATTTAATATTTACCTATATTTTTGTATAATCTGCAATTAACCCTTAATATCTTAATTCAAAGATTATACAAGTTTTTTTTTTTTGATTGTCAACAGAATATAGACAACACTTTATCAATACAGGATTTCCAAAGGAAACATAAGAGCTTTTATTTATAGGTAACTAGGGGATATCAAGAAGAAACAGTCCGGTACGCTAGTTAAGGGCTGGGATAGAAGATGCAGGCGCTGTAAGGGTTTCTCCGGCAGGCGAGCGACTTGGAAGAACCCACTTTTTGTTAAACATAAGCCCTTAACTATTCCATAAATGTTTTTTTCTTTAGAATCTACTGTATCTTTATATTTACACTTAGTCTAGCTTACTTTCAATTTTTACCTTTATCAATATGCCTTTTGCACATGTTTTGTCTTTATTCCATATCACAACTTCCCTTTTAGTGCCATTTTTATCCACACTGCATTAATTTTCTGTGCACAATTCTGACAAGACAACTATAACACCCTGCAAGCAGTGAACAGTTTTAACCAAACATGCTTCATCTGCTTGTAAACCACACATCTCACATTTTAAATATGGGTATGTTGGTTAGTATTTCATATGCAGTGTTTCTAATAACTCTGCAGATGACATTTTTGCCAAGCTACTATTAAATATATAAGTACACATATATACATTTTTAGCATGCTTTTTGATGTTTTTCTTGAAATAACTGGATACTATTCCTGGGGTAGAACAACATCATAAATGCTGATTCACTTCACAGGACTGCAAAGGATAAGATCAAGCAGCACAGACCAGAAAAAAAAAAACCAAGCTTGAAACCACTGATATACATAATGCATTAGGAATGAGGACCACTTCCAGCCTGGCGTTTTTCTTTTATGTTATTTATTATAAACCGTATTCGTTTTTGCTCAAGCATTTTCAGCTACAGTCTCTTCAGTTAATGTTCTTATGTCAAATGCAAATTAAATTAAATTAGCATCATTTGGTTTTGTAAGAGTGTTAAAATGCCCGTCACCAAACCTTATTTATAAGTAGTTCAAGTCTTTCTGAAGTGCTCGTGTTGGAATTTCATTGACAATAAAATATAAAAGCTCAGTTTGACAAAAGTTAGAGGTTGCACTGTATTCTAGTTCCCATAAACATGTCTGCAAGTCTACTACAGAGACTCCTGTGGTCTTGAGGGACCATCTATAGATAGTGGTATTAGCTGAAGAAAAAAAGGTGGTGAGAACCATTTCAGGCAAGTATCACTTGCCTGCACCCTCTGAGCACTGCACTCAAAATGGTGATGGCCGCATCTGGGATCTTTGCTAAATATGTAAAGACCACCAAAAAGTGACAGAACTGCTTTAAAGTAGTGTTTGATAATTAGGTATGTACTTATTTTTCCAATGTGTTGGAGAGTATGGGAATAAGGATGTATGTTTAATTTGGTTTGGCTTTTCTTTTAAAGAACTTTATAGGTAATAATAAAACTCTAAGCACTATAACTTACTGCAGTTGTTATACTGTCAATCCTACCCCCCACAGTCTGAGCAGTTTGACAAAAATAAAACCTGGCGTTCTTTTACCTACAGCATAACAACTCTTTATCTGCATGTATAATGCAGAAACTAAACTTTCACAACCAACCTTGGGTGGTAGTGGTACGTTAATGGTGCTTGTTGTTGAGAAAGATAGCACTTTTAGCATGTTTTTGTTGATTAAAGTTGGGCAGATATGTGCAAATAACAGAAGTGTAATATTAGCATTGACTACTTTACTTTAGATGGGCTGTGGATGAGGCTCATTATTTTAGTGGGACTTGTCCTAAATTAAATGACAAACATTTGGCAAAAAAATAAGTTAATGTAGAAAACGCTCTACTGTGTGGGTTTAATGCCAGATGTGCAAATACAGCAATGTTTCGACCCAGCTGAAAATGTTGCTGTATTTGCTCTAATAAAGCTGCTATTTTGGCGATTACCTTGAGTGCCTGGACCACTGTTTTATTTTACATACCTTCTGTATAATGACCACAGCCCCCAATGTTTTGTCTTGATGCTTTTGTCATATGTAGTGATATTCATAAATTCAAACTATGCACTTTATTTGTGCTGTTATATGGTGTATTAATAAAATACTTGTTGTATAATGACTGGTTTTCTCTATATTTAAAAAAAAAAAAAAAAACAAACAAAAAAAAACACAAACTCCAAAGTGCCTCTATGATGAGAGTTTATCACTGGTGTGTCAACAAGCTCTTTTGTATTCACTATGAAGTGGACTGTGACTATGTACCGGTCTGTGCATATAGTTTTCTATTTATTCAAATTGAGACCCATTGTATTTGCCTGTATTATGTCGCTCTTTAAAGGACCACTATAGTGCCAGGGAAAACATTCGTTTTCCTGGCTCTATAGTGTCCTTGGGTCCCCCTCACCCTCATGGCCCCTCTCCCGCCGGGCTCTAGGGTGAGGAAAGGGTTAATCCCTTACCTTTTTTCCAACGCCGGGCTCCCTCGGCGCTGGGGACTCTCCTCCTCCTTTCCCCGTCATCGGCTGAATGCGCATGCGCGGCAGGAGCTGCACGCGCATTCAGCCAGTCCACAGGAAAGCATTCCAATGTTTTCCTATGGACGCTGGCGTCTTCTCACTGTGAAAATCAGTGAGAAGCGCCTCTAGCGGCTGTCAATGAGACAGCCCCTAGAGGCTGGATTAACCTTCTCTGAAACTGCTATGTTTACAGCAGGCAGGGTTAATCATAGAGGGACCTGGCACCCAGACCACTTCATTAAAGGACCAATCTAGGCACCCAGACCACTTCAGATTAATGAAGTGGTCTGGGTGCCTGGTCCAGCTAGGGTAAACCTTTTTATTTTTTTTAAATTTTTTTTATTAATACACATAGCAGTTTCAGAGTAACTGCTATGTTTATAAATAGGTTAATCCAGCCTCTAAAGCCTCTAGTGGCTGTCTCATTGACAGCCGCTAGAGGCATTTGCGTGCTTGTCACTGTGAAAATCAGTTAGAAGACGCAAGCGTCCATAGGAAAGCATTATGAATGCTTTCCTATGAGACTGGCTGCGCGCGCAGCTCCTGCAGCGCATGCGCATTCAGCCGAAGAGGGGGAGGAGAGCTCGGCGCTGGAGAAAGGTAAGATTTTAACCCCTTCCTCTCTCCAGTGCCTGGCGGGAGGGGGTCCCTGGGGTGGGGGCACCCTCAGGGCACTAAGCTGAAGTGGTCTGGGTGCCTATAGTGGTCCTTTAACTTTGTAGTGTTTCCTGGTTGATGAAAACCTGTTAGTTTGCAAACATTCAGTTGCAAGTACCCATTTTTCAAATATTTAAATGCAGAATAATTTGTAACACTTTTTCCACCCTCTTTCTTATAGATTATCATTTGGGGGGCCGAACGTCAGTCAAAATCTCTGGTAACATGGCAAAAGATGTAAGTATATTTATAGAACACAAATTATTGAATGCATATATTTTGAAATAAGTTTATGCTTTACATAAACTTGAAAAACCCATTTTGAAGTGGTTATCTGGTTTAAACAAAACCGTCTGCAAAATGTGTACATAACACGTCACTTTCAGATAGGTAGCAGCGTGCACAGTTAACCTCTTGGCATTCTAAAATTCTTGTCATGTGGGTTTTGGGATGTTGTCACTTGGGCTGGAAGAAAACATGCTAAGATGGCCTGTTTGTAGTCTTTTGCCTGCAAAAGAGATAAAGGATGCAGAAAATTCTAGGAATACGAATTAAACTAGAATGGACGTGTTTTTTCTCAAAGTGACATATTTACTCTTTTCTTGTAATCGTTGTTAAAGTGCTTACTAAGGTAAATAGAGCAAGAGTAACAAGTACAAAACTCTACTCCACAGCACTTCTGTGTCCATGTGACATTGCAACATGGTATTTGTGTATGTTTGACCATATGTGAAGAAATGCCATGCAAACATTTGTGATTCTAGGTGTTTCATCTGAATTGCTCTATACCAGAGCTGCCCAACAGGTAGATTTCCAGCTTTTGTGGAACTACAACTCCCATGATGCTTTCTTTAGAATGACAAAGCATCATGGGAGTTGTAGTTCTACATCATCTGGGGACCTACCTGTTGAGTAGCCCTGCTCTATGCACTCATGGCACCCCATGATTTCCATTACTCCATGGCTTTAATTTAGGTTACATAGTATGCTTGGCTATGCCAGTGTAAACTGTAAAATAAAATCCATTTAGATTTAAACAAAAAAACACACACATATCAACTTTTAGATAACTATTGGCTTGTGCTGAAACCCTCAAAGTAAAAACTTCAGATTTAATGTACTGGTTTGGCACAATGTATAGATTAGAAGAGTCAAGTCATGTTTGTCATACTTCAGTCATTAGGAGCTTACACAAGGTTGAATTTTATGCAGCAACTATACATATTCTCTTACACAACATACAAATACAAAACTAGCCAATGACTGCACTAGGAGGATGTGATGCTAAATTGATTCCTTCTGATGCTGTAAGTCAGTATGCATTCTGTAAGGGAAGTTGTGAATTTGTCTGCTGCTGGAGAGATTCATAATTGCATTTCTTAGGTGCCATGTGAATCTGTTTCGTTTTTGACCATTACATACTTATAGCTGTAGTTAGTTTCCCTCCATCACTTTGTTTAAAATAGCAAAAGTGATGAGTGAAAAAGGGTAGTTCCTTGAACCAAAATTCTTTATTATAATGCATGACTTAAAGGGACACTTAAGTTGCCACAACAACTACAGCTTATTGTAGGTGTTCTGGTGTCTATAGCCTGTCCCTGCAAGTTTAAACACTTCCTTTTCAGAGAAATTACATAACTGAGCCTCAGAGGGCCACTAGAGGTGCTTCCTGGGTAGGTGCTGCACAGGGAACTTTTTGCAGAGAGATGCATTGATTAAATTTATCTCTATGAGGAGATGCTGATTGGATAGGGTGGTGGTTGGCTGAGATCATCACAATTGTGGATCTCAGACAATCCAATGTATTCCTATGGGAAAGCATTGTAATTGTCTGAGATCATAAATTCTGATGTCTGCCAAGGAGGCGGATTGGGGGCAGATCCAGCACTGAGCATTAGAATAAAAGTAAGTTTTTCTGGCTTTTCAAGGAGGGTAGGAGAGGGGATTTTGATGAGAACTTTATCTGTGTACTTTTGCTAATAGGGGAGGAATTTTGTTGGCTACACTTAAAGGACTACTATAGGCACCCAGACCACTTCAGCTCAATGAAGTGGTCTGGGTGCCAGCCCCCCCCCAGTTTTAACCCTGCAGCTAAAAACATAATTTCAGAGAAACTGCTATGTTTACATTGAGGGTTGTCTACCTGACAGCCACTAGAGGCTGCTTCTGCGATTCTCAGTGTGAAAATCACACTGAGATGACGCTGGACATCCATAGGAAAGCATTGAGCAATGCTTTCCTATGGTTGGTTTGAATGCGCATTTGAAGCTGACGTCAGCAGGGGGAGGAGAGGTCACCGGCGCTGGATTAAGGTAAGTGACTGAAGAGGGGCCATGAGGGGGACACAAGTTTGTTTTCCTGGCACTATAGGACTTCTTTAACAGACTCATATTGGAACCAAGATCATTATGCATTTACCTGCGAACTCTGAGGATATAAATCTATAGAAAAGATATATACATCTATGAAACCCCTACACCACCAGTGTTAAAAAATAAAAATAAAATTACACGCTTAACTCATAATTAAACCGCAATGGTGCTCAAATATACCTTATGTGAATACATATAGATATGTACCTTATTTTTATCTCAACATTGGATGTAACCACCAGAGTGTGTTCTCCTGGAAATCTCTAAATGCCCTCTCTCAGCAATACAGCAACGTGCCTGGCAGGGCTAGTCAGATTGCCACTGGTCTTTAATAGGTAGGGAAAATATATAACTACTGATATAGCTGCAACACTCAATCCTACCACTATGGGGTGATGATGGCCAACAAACTCCTAGATGCACCCTGTGCCATCAAATAATGTATCATCTTCTCAATTTAATAGCAAATCAAACCAACACATAATGCACATGAGCATGAAAGTGAAAAAAATTAAAGCTACCTCTTTATACAGAGGCACCATAGCTTTCAAAGGTAAAAACACAAAACACAGACTATTTGTTGGCTGTAAGCGCACAATCTGTATTAATTTACAAATAAACTTGCAGACACAAAAAAACATGACAAACGGAAGATACTAGACTGTCAGTGTGAGCATGGAGCTAGAGAGGATGAAACTAAATTACAAAATTGTTCAACATATTCCATTGAGGAACAAACTATTTACATAGCTAACCTTTGGCTACATTCAACTTCATCAATGAGTTTGCAAATGTAAAAATTATTTTATGCACTGCATAATGTGATGTCAACCAGATTGTATGCCATAATCCAAAACATGCCATATGAATTTGGATATCCTGCTCTTATACATTGTGTATTGTTACAGAGAATGAACACCCATAATCCAATCCTGTAACAAATGCATTATGGCATCACATCTACATTGTCATGCTAATAAAACTGACTTGACAAATACATTGTGTTCATCAGGTTTACACCATAATGCACAGTATGTGCTTTGAACTTTTAACCAAAGTGCTTTTTTGTGGCAACTTTAGGAAACAGTCTTATCACCTAGGAAAAGGGTAAAATGTCTCCAGTTACCTATTTACCCTCCAAAGCCATTCATGATGTAGTTGTTCAGAACAGTGACTCTTCTCCCCCCCACCCTCTATACTTGGCAATATCCCATGTTGAGACACCCTTTTTGGAAAATAAAACAGTTTTCCAAACTGGGGCAAATTTCAACTGTCCCAATACTTTGGAATAACATGAATTTTACTAGTGATTTAATGACTAATATAAATGCATTTCACATGTCACAATACTCAATTTTAAGTGTCTTATATACATTTTCAGACAGACATGTGCCCTTGCTACTATCATAAGTGCAGAAGCAGAGCCCAGTAGAGGAAGAAAACCTCCTTAGATACATGACAGTGTAGCAAGTGTTTATAACAAATAAGATAATTTCTATTGAAATCATCACTTGTATAAACTCTCATTAAAAACTGCATAGGTATATATTTATACCTCACACCATCATCGAGGCGTGCGCATGTAGGAAAGCATTAAATAATACTTTCCTATGAGCTACATGTCACATGAGTTTCACTTGGTCACTGCAGCAGAAGCACCTCTAGTGGCTGTTAGAAATGGGGAATAGGGCAAAGCTGCTTTCCACTTGTTTCCAGCTATGGCATGTCATTTATCGTGAGGTTTTCCACGAACTAAAAAAAAGACATGCTAAACAAGCTGTGTCAACACATGTGCTTATCTTTCAAGTTGTGTCAAGTCATTTGCCAGTCTATATTTAAAGTGTTTTTAAATTTTAGAAATTAGATGTATGTATTTATTTAAAGCAAAGTAGAGTTTTAATTACCTGAACCTCTCGCAGGAACTGCCATCTTCTTCGGTCTGCTCCTGGTGCTTCGGCTGCCAGGATCTGACGTCACTACTTTACTAAATACAGACTAAGGAACAGTACGCACACAAATAATGCAGCTTTAAATTTTACAAGGCTACTTAACGCCTTAAGTACTGTGGGCGTGCTATGCTGTCCTTGGGGACCCGCTCTAAATGCAGGCAGGCGGCATAGCACGTCCCTACCGTCCTATGTACTTACCCGCTCGCCGGCGATCATGGTGGGGGGGAGGTCTTACTTGGCATCCCATGGAGTCTCCTTGTTACCGTTCCGGCCATCCTGGGCCATGTGATCGCGAGGTTCTTGCGAGGACCGCACAATCACATGGACGGAA